AAGTGGAAGCTGGTCTGTCGTGTCTGCATCTCGGGAACTCAGCACTTCCTTCACTCCAACTCCTTTTCATGTCTGAAGCTGCTGCTTTGACTGCGTGTTCATACTGAAAACTGACCCTGTCTCTTCCCTCCAAGCATTTCCAGCCTCTTCTCTGCGTCTGGGGCTGCCTTGAGCTTCCCCCTTTTCCTGGGTTAATCTTACATTATCTGCTAATTTCTGCTTCAAATGGCAACACACCTGGTCCATTTGCCTCTCCCCAAACATTGCTCCTTCTGTTCACTCACCTCCTCCTTCCCCTAAACCCTGGCCTCTATATCTCCTCACCCTTTGCCCTGCTGCAAACAAAGAATGGATGTTAGGAAGGAGTGGGTGCAAGAAGAATGTTCTGAGAGAGAATGTCCCTCGGGCAGTGTCAACTCACTGCCTACCTCAATTGACCCTATGTGTTCAGGAGTTTTCCGAGATTCATCTTGGACTTTTTGAAGCTGCCCCAGGCCTCCTAGGCCTAAGCATACCTCTATCCTTCTGTCCTTCCAGAACATACAACAGACCTGGGGTTTCCTCGAAGTGCCCTTCTGTCCTCCTCCTGCCAATATACTATGGTACCACTGGGCGGACTCCCAGGCCATCGAACCAATGGGCAGCCCTACCTCAGTGGCACCAATGGACGGGCCTGTGCCAATGGGCTACATGTGAACAGGGGCTGCCCTGCAGCTGCCATGGGCTACCCAGGCTTGAAACCACAGCAACACTGCCCGGGGGAGCTTCCACAGGTAACACAGCCCTGAGAGTGTGGGCAAGCCCGTACAGGCCACCATGGAGGGAGTGGTTGGGCTGCCTCCTGGGGCTTTCTCCCTTCCAGCCTCTAATCTGGACTGCTGGGCCAGGCTTTCTCTAGTCAAGAACAGCCCATCCTGTTGAACAGTGAACAGGAAAGTTACCTGGACTCACTGACATCACCTTTTCCTGACTCTTTCTTTTGAGCAGCAGGATGACACCAGCAGCCTGCTGAGGCAGACCATTCTTGGCAATGGATATGACCCCCACAGTCACCAGGTTCCCAGGTAACCGGGCCCCTCCCCCTCCCTGCCTTCCACTCCCTAGCCTGAGAGCTCACTTCCTCTTTAGCTTCTCAAATCCAGCGACCGTCACTGAGAGGTGAGCATCAGTGTTCCACTCAGGAATCCCCACGTCTGACGACCTGCACCACAGGACTCCTGCCTGACAGGCAGTTGGGGGGACTGCACTCATGATGCCCTTTCTGCTCTGGGGCATGGCTTGGCCTCTCAGAATCCTCCCCTCACTTGGCAGGCCAGAGCAGCCACATACAGCTGGCTTTGCCCAGATTCCCCTGGACACTTACTCCGCAGCAGCTCACATGCTCAGGCTTGCATGGAATAAAATGGAGATGATAGACTAGAATTACCCATGAAGTGATGGTGTGGCGCCTCTTGATGTTCAGAGGGGAGGAGTCCCTGCTCCCTTGAGCTCTGACCAGCTCTGATGCCCACGGACAGGGAACAGCTGGAGGGTGGGGGTACAGCCCCCTCCGCCCCTAGCTCACTTCCCCATCTGGTCTCATGCTTGCAGGGGTCCCAAGTCTAACCCGGATGAGGGCCCTTTCTTATACACATTGCCTGATGATTCAACTCGCCAGCTGCTCCAGACCCACCAGGACTGCCTCCAAATCCAGGAACAGCCTGCCGCCACAGGCCAGTCAGGAAGGAGGAGTGTACCCCAGAATCCTGGGCTAGAAGCAACGTGGGACCCTCTTTTTCACCCAGGTCAGTACCAGGGGCAGGGCGGAGGTTGAACAGGCTGGGGATGACATGAGGTAGGCATCCACGACCCACGAGTGACTTGGAGGAGGGAGAGATAAGTCCTCGAAGGTGGTCCTTGATGAGGAGCCATCCACAGCTTTCATCTGGGAGAGAGAGGGGAGGGACAGATGGCTGGCCGTCCTCCCGCCCTGCTGAAGGCCCGGCAGGGGCCTACCAGGTGGGGCCCCCGCCACCATGGCAAGCTGTGTCCTCAAAGGTTGGGAGAAAGTACACTGCTTCATTTCAGAGAAAGAAGCCCTTTTGGTCTCTACATTTCAAGGCCATTCACAAAGTCCTCCCACCTCTCCTCACACCGAGAGTCCTTCTCTAATCCCCCTGAAATACCTTGCTTTGTTGGGTCTTGTCTCTTAATTAAGGAATGAGGTTGCATCAATGATCGAGCAGCCAAGGTCTCCCGAACCTCATCATCGTCTCTCTGCTTCCACAGGACTCTTTCTCCAAGAGACTTAAGGCACGCCACCCGCCCCCCACCACCCCCGCCCCGATCCCACCGTCTTCCTTTGTGCCAGTCTCTTGGAAATCAGTGGACGCTCAGTTGGGGTGCAGGTCGGTTCAGAGGATTGGCTCGTGTTTCTTAGCCTCCATGGCTGGATGTCGGTTCACACACAGATCCTAGACCCTGTCTCTGGGAGATGAAACTTTAAGACAGGCACCTCCTGGAGCCAGATCTAGTATCATTAAACTAGAACCACCTGCATTTGGGGGAATGAGTTGTAAGTGGGATGATCACGAGGAGAGATCACACCAGAAGGGTAGACTGGTGGCCGAAGGCTGGAAAGAGCAGGGCTTTCTTCCACATTTCACGGACTTAGCTGACTTCATCTGCCCCAGGGCACAAGGCTAAGGGCTCAGGAGCCTCCATGGTCCCACCGCTGAAAGGTGTAGGTGGGACATGGGGAGTAAGTGCCCCCTCCATGTCTGTGAGAGACCTTAGAGGGGGGGAAAATGCTCTTGTGAGGGGTGTAGGTTTCTGTCGCTCCTTTAACGCTGGTGTAACCAGCTCCTGCCACAGAGAGATTGACCCAGGACCACTGAGCCTTGGTTCCTGGTCAGTCTGGGTTTTAATGGTTCCCGTTTTTCTCTCTCCTCAGGGCCCCCGTGCTGTCTGGGCCTTGTACCTGTTGAAGAGGTGGACAGTCCCGACTCTTGCCAAGTGGGTGGAGGAGACTGGTGTCCCCAGCATCCTACGGGGGCCTACAGAGGGCAGGAGCTCGGGATGCGGCTCCCCTCCAGCCCTCCGGTGCACGTGTCTTTTGAAACACCCCCTCCTACAATTTAGGCAGAGGCCGATATTCCAGAAAGACTATATTTGTTGTTTTTAAAAAGAGGCAGAGAAAATGGTATTTATTTTTCTATAATAGCCATATTTATATATTTATGCACTTGTAAATAAATGTACATGTTTTTATAATTCTGGAGAGAGACGTAGGGATCCTCCCCATTGAGGTATGAGAGGGAAAACAAGCCGCAACACAGCAGGAGTCAACCCCGAAGGAGTAAGGAGCTGGCCGGAGTGCAGACAGAGCAGTCAGCCCTCTGCTGGGAGGCTGCAGGAGGCCCGCAGAGAAGCTGCTGGAGGAAAGAATCCTAGGCACACTGTCTGTGATGATCTGAGGGAAATGCAAGGGCCACAGGCTGGAGACACCCGTGAAGATGGCCGGATCTGGTGCTTCGGGAAACGTTTTCAAAAGACGTCCGTGAGAATAGACTGAGATGTGTATAGTACTATAAGCATTAACAAACCTTCCAGAATCAATAATCTGTGGCAACATATCTCTGTAAAAACAAACACTGTAACTTCTAAATAAATGTTTAGTCTTCCCTGTAACCTTCAGCTTAGTCACGTGTGAGTCAGCATTCTCTCCAGACATTAGGACGTAGGCTTTGAGCATTTGTAGAAAATGCACACTTGTGACATTTTTCAGATCCATCAAGAGGTGAGATCTGGAAAAGGTGGCAGATGTCCCTAGTTTTTTCTTTTTGGGCGTCAGTTGTTTTTATTAATGTAGACAGCATGGATCACGGGTTAGTCCAAGAGGGAGAGAGTACAGGAGGCGAGGAGAGGCAGATTCATGGTTCGCTCACTGACTGGAGTGAGGAGCAGCTTTGGGCACATCAAAGGAATGAAACTAATCCTTTCTAGAGAGGTGTGTGTTGAAGACCAAATATTTTCTCCAAAAGAGCATTGAGGAAGTGCTAGGCTACATGTGAATTTGTGGTGCCTGATAAAACTCACTTCCTCTCTTTCCAAAGATACACCAACATTGCCAGAGGCATTGACTCACTAGTTGTTTAAAATCAACATTTACTTACTGCTGTCCAACCAGAGGATCCACCTTTATACGTGAAACTAGATGGAGGCTGAAGCTTGCGATGAAAGCCCTCACACCCTTTAACTGTTGTCAGGGGGGATGTATTTTCTAGATTTCAGTAACAGATTCAGTTACAGATTAAATGCCACTTGACACTCAAGCTCATTAAGAGTCATTGTGCCAGAGCCTGGCTTCACCCAGTCGTCACGCATTGGATGAACAGGATCCCAGGAAAGCCCGGGAGGGACTCTGACTGTCTGGGACAAATGCGCCCTCTGCTGGCCAGAAGAAATACAGCGCCTGCTCTTACATCATTGCGTCGTTTTTCCATCAAACAGCTAAATTGGAAAAAGAACTCTCATCGAGGCACCACATGATTTTCAGAAAAGCAGTATTTAAAAAATAGAAAATGAAGGACTGTAAAGAACATGGCAATGATAGGAAAGGGGAAGCAGAGCAAGGAAGAAATAAGATGACTTCGACACAACCTGTCATTAAAGGTCAGAGGTCACTTCCAGGAGTGGGGCAGAGGTCACGGTCTCAGCCTTCACTCAGCTAATCCAGGGGCACTCAGATCTGGCCTGTAACTCACCTTCTAGCCCATTAGCTTTTGGTGAACTTTATTGAAGTGACATGTAAAGTTGCTTTCTGCACACCATTGGAACCGTACCACCACTGAATGGTCTTTAGTTCTCAAAAAAAAAAAAAAAGGGAAAGATAAAGCACTTCTGAGGCACGTTAAATGAGATAAATGTGCATTCTTACCTTAGCCAATTGCAGGAAAGAAGGAAAAGATTAGGGTACCAGGCTTTTAAATGTCTGCCAGGAAAATGAAACAGCTCAGATATTCAATTTCATTTCATTTTTTATTTCTTTAGATGCAGGTTAGTTACTATAATGCCTTTTTAAAATTTGAGTCAGTCAGCAAAGGCTGTATAAATTACCAGACGGAAGAGTAAGACCCAGTGTGCTGAGCTGGTGGGGGTGCAGAGCTCAGAGACCTGGCTCCTGGCCCAGAAACCCCTATCAGGAGGGCAGCCCATGCGATAGGACAGGCTGACTTCACAGGAATGATAACTGCTTTTCCTGCTGGACTCTACAGTTTTTCTTCCAATGCTGAGATGAGATACTATGCATGAGGGTTCACAATAGCCAAGCTTCATTAACGGTTGATCCACAAGTAACTCATTTAGACTGATTTGGGGCCTCACGCTCAGAGGAGAGGCTGCCTTGTCTGAGGGCACAGCAGGAGGCGGAGAACAGTGCGATCAGGGCAGCAGGACCCCTTGCCATCTGCCCCCAGCTGAAGCTGCACCCCAGGGTCTCCTTCTGTTGGAAGCTGAACTTTCCAAAGACTCAGGTGCTCATTCTTAATTATAGATTCAAGACTAAGTCTGGAATCAAGTAGAAAGGAAACTAAAACTATCTGTCTGTGTTGTCCATTTCAAAATAAAAATGAGTGCTAACTACGTTGTCAAATTTCAAACATGCTGGAGGAAGGCCTAAATATTGTGGACTTCAGAAACGATTTAGTCCAGTTCAATTTGGGAAAAAAATAATCATCCTGATTGGTTTTGCTCTAAGTCGAAACACATATGGAACCCTTGACACGGCTCTTCCATAGACCCCAAATCCACTCTTGCTGCAATTAGAACTATAGGATTTCAGAACGGGAAGGGACCTCAGGGCTGCTCCAAATCTCTCATCTGTCAGACAATAAAATGAGGCCCAGGAAGATGACCTAACTGCCCCTGACTCTCACCACTACCAAGGGGACAGTGTCTCCTCGGGGACCGACCACTTTATGCAGACAGTGGCTCGTATGGTAGGCAGCCAGTGAGGAACCGAAGCCTCCTGCTAAACAGCCGAGTGAGGGTGTTTGGGAGCAGCCCTTCCAGCTTCAGATGGCTGCAACCCTGACTCACAGCTTGACCGCAGCCTCACGAGAGACCCTGAGCCAGAAACGCCCAGCTCAGCTGCTCCCAGATTCCTGACCCTCAGAGACTGCATGAGATAAGTGTTTGCTGTTTTAAGCTATGTTTGGGGGTAATTTTTATGCAGCAATAAATAAGTGGAACGCTCAGAGTGATGACTAGCACATTTTTTAAAATGCTTGAAAGGCACACATAGTTTAGGGCATACAGCAGAGAAAGTGATGAAAGGGTGCTCTCCAGGAGAGAAGCTGCCTACGTCAGAGATTTATGGTGATGAGCACGAACTGTTGGGACCTCTTAAGAAGGAATACGAAAGAATCTTAGGGAGACAATAGGCCAAATGGCTACGCATACATGTATTCTAACACACAAAGTCAGTCAGTCCTGTCTGTATTTGGGAGCAGATGAGCAGGCTAGCACAGGTTAGGAAGACTTGCCATTGCTGAGTCACTTTCCATGATGCAATATGGCCTTCTTCACCTTTCCTTCTCAGTGACCAACTTATATGCTAGGACAGCCTCACTAGAGTAGCTCCTTAATATGGACACATGGAGCTCTGAATCTTAAGTGCCATGTGCCACTATTAACAGGAATCCAAATATCAGCGGGACGGTTGTTAGATGGGTGCAGCCATGCATCCCAATGACCGCTTACCCCCAAACCAAAAGGCTACTCTCAGATTAGTTTAAAATGTTATGCACAATCAGAAGTGATTGTTAGAGAGGATCTCTCAGAATGATGTAATTTATTTCATTACTCCTGGATCTATATCAAAACTAGCAAATGACTCAAGTAGAACCTGAAAGAAAATGGCATAGGACATAAGAAATGGTGGGAATACTTAGAATACTGAGAAAGCGGCAAACATCTTCAGAGGAGAACCTCCTTGTTGACCATTTTGCAAAACACACGCCACTGCCCCACTGATTGCAGAAGGGTTTGCTGAAACCGTGGGTGATTCAGGAAGCTGGTTATTTCCTTTCTGCCAAGCCAGAGTGAACTGCTTTGCTATCTCTGTCTGCACTTCCTGAATCCTAAGCCCTCACATTACTGCTCTATGCAGGTAACAATGCCAAAATTCTAATTTGTATTTCTTGTTCTCAGATATCGTTGGTAAAATAGGTTGTCTTTTTCTCTTGTGTCCTCCCAGAGAATACTTAATAACATCAAAGTATATTTTCCAAGGATTCAAGCTTTGAAGAAAGGAAGTTTTCTCATGGATTGCTGAATGACACTTTTTCTTGCCAATGGCTAAAAATTCAGAGAACCAAAAAACCAATTTCCTAAAACAGGCTATAGTACAGATGCTTGCTTGCGATGTGAGACACAGCCTTCTGGGACTGCATACTCAATCCAGTTGGTTCCAAACAGATCTAAGATGGTTCAGTTCAATAATAAACAGATGTTGAGTGCTGCAGTCAGTTCTCAGATAACCAAACTGGAGAAACAATATTAAAACTACATGACTGGATCTGGTTTCAGACTTTTAGATAACTTCACTTTAAAACATTAGGATTGTCGCAGGCCACAAGGAATAGAACTTCTGGTGAATGCGTCAGACATCTTGGATGGATTTGAGAAAGAGGCAAATTTAAAGATCCATGGGCTTCATCTGGTTCTCTTGTGGAGGCTGAATGGGTGGGAGGATGAACCCACCTTTCTTGCGCAAAAGGGCAATCTCTTTCTTTAAGGCGGAAATCCTTTCTGCCTGGACTTGGATCAGTTCCGTGACCTTCTCTCTTGCCACAATGTCTGCTTTCCGAGGGCCCTGGAAGGCATTGCCCTGTTGAAAGAAAATGCCTCCCTGCTTTAAGTGTCATTTGGAAGGTGAAAAATTCCCCGTCCTTACACATCTGTCAGGAGTGCCTGCCTGACAGCCAATTTCAACAGCCATTGCTCCTTCTTTTAAGGGGCCTCCAATTCCTCCACTGGAATCCCACCATGAGAAATGGGTCCCTCTGGGCTACTGAAGATCTCTTAAAATGCAAATCCCCTTTAGAAGAGTAGGTAACACACTAAGCTAGCTATCAGAGGACTCACTGCTGGAATCCTAAGAGACAAGGGACATCCTTTTTCTATACAGCCCATATTTTGTTTTCCAAAAAAGAAATCTTGATTTCCTCATCAGATTTCTTGCCCTGCCCAGCCAGCTCCTGCCCAGGCTGCAGACATCACCTTTAGGTGCAGCCTTTGCCCCCTGGACTAAGTTAGGATTTCCTGCTCTATGTTCTATCAAAACAGGAATAATATATCATTGTAATCATCAGATTGGACCATTTGCAATTTCATATTTGACCATTTTTTTAATCTAAAAAAGTGGCGATGTCATGTGGTTCGACCTAAATGCTTCTTTGATATCTTTCTTGTGAGATCCTGTGCCTGTTGGAGAGAAGGCCCACTGGGCCTGGGTCTCACACTCCACCCAGCACCTAGCCTAGAGCTTGCTGCCTAAGTAGCTGGTCAGTCAAACTTGAATGCACATTAAAGGAAGGGACGTGATGCTTCCCTAGTGTCCACTCTGTGCCACGTGCTTTACATGCACCATCTCACTTCCTCCTCACAACTCGGTGAACTAGGTGGTGTTATTCCAATTTTATAAATATAGAAACAGACAGATTAATGACCTGGCCTAAGTCTCTAGAGTATTAGGGACTGGAAGAGTAGGGTTAGAACCAGGTGACCTGAAGCCAACAGTCCATGACTTTGTCCATGACCCCCACTTACTATGGCAGACTCTCATAATCAGTAGGGGCGACCATTGCCCAATACTTCTGCATCTCCTCCCTTGCCCACCTTCACTTTGGAGGCTGTGAAAGCTAAACACTAACCTTACCCAGTTTCTCCTCCAGCCAGTAGTGGCTAAGTGGATGTAAGCAGAAAACTTTTGCTTTCTTAATGAAAGGGACAGAAGTGGCTGGCATATGGATGTGAAATGTAGAGCTGAGGCAGCCATCTCATGATTTTGAAGGAACTTCAAATAATCACTAAGGAAATCACGGATACCGGTGCCGACATTATGGACCCACTGAACCAGAACCCCTCAGTCATCTCTTTCAGACTTCTTGTTAAGGGAGAAAAATGACCTCTATTTGTTTAAGCTTCTGTCAGTGGGCCGTTTTGTTACTTGTAGCTGAATGCCCGCACCCAGCTCATGCCTAGTCACTCCTGTCAGTCACTTTGAAGTCAGCTTAACTTTTCCCTCATTCTCCTTGCCATATCCAAACAAATTTTGGCTATTCTTAATTTGAAATGTCTTTTGACACTTTCTTTTTTATCCTTGCCATTTACGTCCCAATTCATGCCCAGATTGTTATAAGAATAATAGCAATGGAGTCAGCTTTGGAGGCAGACTGGCTTTGGTTTAAAAACTAACATCCCTGTGTATTAGCTCTGAGAGCATGAGTAACTTACTTAACTGCTCTGAGCTTGGGAAATTAGTATTTTGAGGATTAAATGAGATACCCTGTGTAAAGAGACTCTACATGTAAAGATACACCATAAAGTATACTATGTAAAGATACATATGTAAAGAGACATATACTATTAATTTCCTTTCCCATCAACTGATCGCCTATCTCCAAACTCTTCTCTCTCCAATGTATCTGGACTTATCAAAGCACATCAAGCCAACAAATGTTTCTGACTACATACTCTGAAGATTTTTCTGGGCATTAACCTTCTCGACATTGCCTTGATTCTTCACTCAAAAATTCTTCAGTGGGTAAAGGACCCTTGATATTCAGATGCTGGTAATCCTCTCATATTCAGTCTCCAATTACAAATCCTCTTACTCATTCTCCATGGAATAAATCATATTCTTTCTTGCTTTTGGAGTTTTGCTTAAAACAGTGACCCTTAAACTCTAGCATGCAGCAGAATCACCCAGGAGGCTTGTTCATGGAGTTTGCTGGGCCCTCCCCAAGAGCTTCTGATTTGGTGGATCTGGAATGGGGCCAAGAATCTGCATTTCTAACAAGTTGCCCAGGTTATGCTTATGCTGTTCTTCAGGGGACCACACTTTGAGAACTCCTGACTTAGACTATTTCCAGGTGCTTATAGAAAACATAAAGAAAACCAAGAGAAATAATGGGAATTTTTGCATAAACTATTGTAAGAATATGACATAATAGTTTAGAATATGCCATATATGTATTAGTTTCCTAGAGGGCAAGGCTGGAATAGGGTCAACCTATATTAAATAAGTATTATCGACCACATACCATGTATCAAATACTACTATGTTAGGCTCAATAAATATAACAGCAAGTTGAAAGCCATAAAAAGTACTAAGTATTTTAATAAGAAAACATGTAAGATCTCAAAATTTAAGATGACTACTTTAGGTCAAATGAAATAAAGATAGTGGAAATGGATGTTTGACATTAAATTCAGGGAGTAGATTGGCGTTATTATTTATACCTAAACAACCTTACCTCTCCAAGGCCAAGGCAAACCCCACAGATTAGTACTTATGCAAGTTCATGGCATCCGAGAGGCATACAATGGAGCTAGTGCCCTAGGCTCACTGTAATGTGGCTCCCATCAACCCAATGTCCTCAGGGACCCAGGAGGGCCAGAAGTGGTTCAAGATCAAGGTTTGTTTAAATGCCAGCACTTGATATTCTTGTGAATAGCTACCTTTACAGAGGCTCCCCAATTCTGATAAAGGGTCTGAAGACAAGGAACAAACCTGCTGGTTCTGTAGTGTATTCAAACGAGAATCAAGTTTCTTCTTTTCGATACATAAATCATTCATCTGATGAAGCTTTTTAGTGTGTTCTTTTGTCTTCATCATCAGTTCCCATCGCATTTGAGCAATCTTTTCCTACCAGGGCAGGAAAATGCAAAATGCATTAAGTGAATGAGAGAGAAAGAGAGAAAAATGCATGTTCAGATTTGACCAAAACCATCAGGAGAATGGAGCAATATGCACATAGGAAAATATAATCAGAAGCAACCAGAAGTGGCTGCATTGGGTCTGGTTTGATTAAAGAAAAGATAAGAAGAATATAAGTATGCTCAAGGATAAAAGGAGGTAAAAATAAGATAGATATGGATATCACTCCATTGTTGAGGAATGAAATTAGTATGCATATTGAGTGCTGGTATTCATTACTTAAAAGAATGATAATTTAAGCAGCAAACTTTCATGTATTGCTTTTTCCCCAGTCTTGGCCCAGGATCCCCAAGGTAGCCGGCTCGAACTGCCAGACATCTGCTAGTGGTGGCTTTCCTTTGTTCTCTTATTGCTCCAAAAAATTATTTTAGATTGCACATATTATCTCTAGCATTTCCCTGATAAGGACCAGTCCCATTGACTTGAACACCTAAGTAATTTTCACAGTAAAATGCTAAATCTTGGATAAGCAAAGATGAGATGAGATTGCACTAGGAACCTCTACTTCTTCCCTCTCTACTGAAGAGATGAGATAGAAAGCTGGAGAAATAATTATTTCTGGGATTATAAAATCTTTGTAAAAGCTCCTGTCTTTGAATCAGGCTATTAACTGGGGTACTGCCTCATCTCCTGGCTCTGGGAACAAGGCATTAACATCTTCTGAGACCCTACCAGCTAAATAGTCCATACCTTGTTATAAAATTTATTACTTAAAAATGTTTTCTAATTTTAAGAATGTAACAGCATGCAAAAGCTATATAGAATAATACAATTAGGATCCTCAGAGTAGAGCGGTTCCATCTCTAACACTGTTAGAGCATTTATACACCAATGCAAACCTCAAAGTGGGATCTCGGTGATCTTTCATGCCATTTGCCATCGTATTTGCAAGCACCCTGGAACCCAAACCCCAGTGCTGGTGCTTTGCCCCAAGAGATGAGTCCCTCCAACTAGGTGAACAGCGATCACTGTACCTCCCACATCTTCATTTCCTTTGCATTCGATAGCTCCTTTCGGAGTTTTTTGATCTTTAGTTCTTCGAGTGTGGTGTTCACAGAAAGAGTCTGAAGGGCTTCTAGGTTTATCACACGGCCGAACTTGCTGATCATGAGTTGACGGACTGTTTCTTCCATTTCTAAAAGAAGACGGTCACTGTCTTAGGCTCTTCAGTGTCTCCCATCGTTATTAACGAACAAGATCAATAACAATAGCATTCTAAGGAACAGCTTTTACAAGATGATGGTGAGAGATTTTGTTACCAGTTGATTTTTCCTGTGGCGTCTCACCTGCTAGTGTACTTTCCTCACTTAAAATGCCCATTCCTGTCTCGTCTTTTCATCTACTTCAAAATCCTGTGTAAAACAGATTCATCTTTCCCAGCTGGCTTACACACTCTGATGTGCCACTCCTCAGACTGTTAATGGGCCCCAACTGGATTATGAACGCTTCTGTTTTTGTGTTGGTTTTTTTTTTTTAATTACTGATCTCTACAGCATCCAGTGTTAAGAATAGAGCAGGCACTTAAGAAGTTTCCATCTTTCTCCAAGTAGAAATGAAAGTCCTTGCAGTGGTTCACAAGGTCCTACAGGTCTGTCCTGTGCTGCCCCTGTTATCTCTCCCACCTCCTTTCCCATGTCTTTCCTCATTAACTCCAGACACGCTGGCCTCCCTTTTGCTTCTCAAACACTCCAGGCTCACTCCCATCTCAGTTCCCACTGTCTGGAATTTTCTTCTCGAAACAGCCACATGGTTCACTCCGCACAGCCCACTTTCTGAAAGCAAGCTGTGAGACTGGTGAAAGACTCATTTCCAACACACTCAATACTGAAGATGTAACCAAGAGCAGGTCCTCGTCCTCTAACCAGGGAGAACCGCATCTTAGGAGGTATGTCAGCTCTCCAAGGAGCTCTTCCCAGCTTCCTAAGGACCTCAGCACTCTCTTTCCCAGTCCCTTTTAAATTTTTCTTTTTAGTAATTACCTTCATCTAAAATGCAACATATTTTACTTTCGTTTATTGTCTTTCTTCAATATGAGAACACCTAGGGAAAATTCCATTTGCAGGATCTGAGGTCCCCAAGAAAATGTAATCTTGTAACAAGACTTTCTCAGTCACCAGACTGTCCCCTATGTGAAGTCTGAAGGCCCTAAGGTATAACAAGATGACACAATTCTGTCATAATGCAGAAATTTATATTCAGGTGTCATTGTTATGGTTGAATTATAATGATATAATTGGCATGGCTACCATTTTGCATAATTCAGGGAGAGGCTCTTCATTTCTGTTCTATGTGAGTGGTGCCCACATGGATTTATATAACATGGTTAGATTATTTGCACATGTGTGGCTAGCCTGTGGCTGCCTGCTTGGCCTCCCTCATTTAGAACCTTGATTCCCCTCAGCCAGCCCTATGTAAGGGGTGGCCTTTCCCATGGCAGCCTCATGTACTAAGACATGTACTCTAGTCCTAGCCATTCCCGCCATGGAGCCAGCCTAATGCCCTTCTCCTGATTCGATTAGGCCAGCTAGTGTTCACCGGAGACATCGAGGCTTCTGGAACATGCATCACCGTCCTTCCCCATGGCCACAAGCTGTCCCCTCCTTGGAATGGAGAGAACTCTTCTTGCCCTAGGTCTAGGGACGGAGGAAGGCAACGAGAAGCTAACTGTGGTTTCCCCCATCACTGTTAAGCCTTTCTTCTCTGGGTTACAGGAAAGGACCCCACTCCTGGTTTCACCTTCAGAATTATGAAATCATCGGTCTTTAACCACCTCACAACTTGCTTTCAGAAAACCGGCTAGGGTGGCAGAAGAACTGAATAAAACTTCCACCACATGGAACTCTTTCTTTTTATTTCAGAGAACACTCCGAAAATCTGAAAACTTCATTTCATCTTCACACATTTTCTCAACCTGAGAGTTTACTCAAATTGAAACAAGCTTCTTTTCTTGTTTTCACACTAGTTTACTCCTTGTTTTGATGAACAGTACTTCCAAATCTAAACGACACTCACAGCCTACAGAAGCCAAAGGAATGTGAAGTATGTGAGAGACCTGGAGCCTCCAGGCTTTCACCTCAGAAAGCTGTCTCTCAGACAGGCGTTATTCAAACATGGAGGCCTAACGTGTACTTTTTAATTTTATAATCCAGCCACCCGTGAGGGCAGAACCATCAGCACTCCTGGGAAAATGGCCTCTACAAAGCCAAGCAATTTGGACTGGTTCACCGCTACATTCTTCCCACTTTTTTCCTTTTTCAATTTTTCTTTTTTTAAAAAAACAAAATTATTATTTAATTGTGGTAAAATACACATAACATAAAATGTGCCATTTTAATTGTTTATAAGTGTACAGTTCTCTGGCATTAAGGTAGATGCTACAGTACTAGAAATATTATTGTTATTAAACCTGGAATATTTCATAACTTATACATATGTTCCATACATCAAATATTACAATTTTTTCTTTTTTTTGGTAAGGAAGATTGTCACTGAGCTAACATCTGTGCCAACCTTCCTCTATTTTGTATGTGGGACACCCCACAGCATGGCTTGATAAGTGGTACATAGGTCTGTGCCCGGGATCTGAACCTGTGAACCCTGGGCTGCCGAAGTGGAACACACAAACTTAACCACTATGCCACCAGGCCAAGTCCCTACAAAAAGTATTTTAAAAGATAATTATATTTATACTATGCATCTTATACTACATATCTCAATTTCAGGTGGATTAAAAACGCAAATGTAAAGAATACTACTAGTAGAGGAAACTATAGAAAAGTCTCCTTATGACCTCAAAATAGGAAAGGACTTCTTAATCAAGACACACACAATGCACAAACCATAAAAAATGGATAAAATTATAGTAAGATTTAAAATTTATCCCCAAAAGAGGCACTAAAGAAGGCAAAAAGGCAAGCCCCAAACTAGAAGAGATCTGAAGTGCATTTAATACACAAAGACAGACAGAATATGGAAAACACTCTGCAAAGGCAATAAGAAAACAAATAAAAAATAGAAGTAAAAAATGGGCAAAGGATATAACAGGCAAGTTACAGAACAGGAAACACAAATAAATGTATGTGAAGATGCTCAGCCTCACAGAACTAAGGAAACGTGGATTAAAAAAAACCGCAGTGAGATACCAGTTAACATCCACTAGGCTGGCAAAACTATTAAAGTCTAACAGTATCAAGTGTTGATGAGAATATGGAGCAAGGGCAATTCTCACACACTGCCAGGGGGATAAGATATGGTACAACCACTTTGGTGGTGGGGGGTGCAACTTGGCAATACCCAGGTGAGCTGAAAATGCACATCCCCCATACCCTGGGACCCCATCCTGGGCTTCACCTTCTCACACACATGTGCACAGGGAGACGTGTCCAAGAAGCTTTGCTGTAACATTATCTGTAATCGTGATAAATTAGAAATACCCTAAATATCCATCAACTGGAGAATGAAGAAATAAGTTCTTTTATAGTCCTACGATGGAATACTGTAGTAGCAGTCAAGATGAATAAATTATCTGTAATAATATAGATAAGTCTGAAAAACTGGCTTAACAAAGTAAACTTCAAAGTTATATGAATAATATAGTATTACAGTGAAAAACACAAAAAGTAGTTTCACATAGCACGTGTGGATAAGTACATTTGTGTGTGTGTTCCCCTGGTGCCTGGTCCTGGGGAAGGAGATAGTAGAGGAGTATTAGAAAGAGAAGGGGCTTCAATTGTATCATCAATGTTTTACTTCTTAAGTTTGGTAGTGGTAATGTGGGTTATTATTATACAATTCTATATTTTATTATAAATAAAACCTTTTATACTTCAGAGAAATAGCTCCTATGATAAAACAATTATCCTTTTAAAATAGGAGAGTGATCATTTAATGGTAGCTGGAGAGATAGTAAGTAGGAAGATGCGGAGGTGTTCTTGCTTCCTCAGAGGTCCTGATTCTGTGATTACTTACTGTTTTCAAAGTTGGAGTCACTTGACCCCTATTATCAGTAAGTATGACTAGATAACCTATGGGCTTTGTTACTCACGGTTTATATTTTTTGCCATCTCTCTCTTTTCTCGGATAAGCTGTTTACGCCTCTCCCGGCATTCTTTGTTAAGTTTTTGCTGCTTTGAATTTTCCTCCTGGAGCTGTACAATTCGCTCTTGCAGCCGTCCCAAGGAGTGGTTAGAAAAGACCAAAGTTCCAGAAAGATCAGTAGGTATTTCCCCAAATACCACATACTCTATCTACAAAAACAAAACAAGACAAAGATCAAACGAAATGTAAGGTCACAGAAAGCACTAGGGAAGCACCTCCTCCTTTGTCCCTGGTTTAGGGCACTTGCCTTTGGATTTCTATCTTTCTCACCACTGAGGAAGGTAAGCGGGAGGTCACCTTCAGACAGTAAGCCACATTTTGTCCCTCTGGGGACAGCAAACCTTCCCACATAGACCATGCCCAATACCTACTGCATAATGACAGAACAGACATTTCAGGGACGGCATATTAGGCAAATTGCCACAGATACCTAAACCAGTTTGGGTCAGTTGTACAAAATATATGTAAGGCTGATCTAGGGCTTTTCTTCCAAAATACAGCTTTCTCTCCTTGCCTGACAAAATAGGATGTGACGGGCCTTTTCTCTCATTGAGATGTATCTCTGTTTTTTTTTTTTTTTTTTTTTTTTTGAGGAAGATTAGCCCTGAGCTAACTACTGCCTATCCTCCTCTTTTTGCTGAGGACGACTGGCCCTGAGCTAACATCTATGCCCATATTCCTCTACTTTATATGTGGCACGCCTACCACAGCATGGCTTGCCAAGCAGTGCCATGTCCGCACCCGGGATCCGAACCAGTGAACCACAGGCCACCGAAGTGGAACGTGTGCACTTAACCACTGCGCCACCGGGCTGGCCCCTATCTCTGCATTTTAATATAAGTTGTAATTCAAGTAGAGTGTGCAAATGAACAAAGAAAGAGAAAAAAAAAAGAATATTTTCCTTTTTTCTTGACCTCCCTCATTAGCAAGTAGGGATTAAGTGAAGATAATTCTTGCATCATTAATTCATGTCTATTTAAAGATGGTGTAAAAAGTTACATGTGTGCTTTCATGTTTCAACCTCCAAGTTATTCCATTCTGAAGTTATAGGCTCATTTCTCCAGACGTGAAATGATTCAACTTTCAAAGTGATAATGGGCCACAGGGAAATACCTGTTGTGATGTTATTCTTTTATAACAATCTGAGAACACATAAGGAAAAGTTGGGGTGTCATTCTACACGTACAACTCTCAGCAAAGGACCGTACTTCTCCCCACTAGGGACCCAAGACTCTTCCTCTGGAAAAACCTGTGTGTGGTGGTTCTTCTGCTCAGACGGGGTGGGTCAACCTCTCCAGACCATCACCTGGTGGAGCTTGAGCGGAATCACAACCAGCAGTTCATTCAGCCGCTGCTGCTTCTCTCGCTGATAAGCCTCCAGGGCCTCCTCTGCTGCATTCAGATTAGTCCCCACAATTTTTACCTGTGGAAAGCCCCATGTGTGACATGTTGAAAAGATTCGATGAACACCTACCCACGGTGGTAAATGAGGGCATCTTGGGAGGAAGTAAAAGCATGAGCGGGATCTGCTTGGCCAGGCTGTGATGGATGACCCCAGTTTGCAGCCCAGGAATGTATATTCTTTTCTTCCTGTTAACTCATGATCCACATCACCTTTTCAATTGTTCCCATGTCCCCAGAGTTGTAAAGGGAATGAGAGATCAGAAGACATGTCCTCATCTCCCTTTTATTTTCTCCATGGCATGTCATTGTCAGGACAGTGGGAACCTCACTTGGTCATAATGATCTCAATAAATTAAAGGAAAAAGCCCTTTAAAGCAACACAACTACTAACTACAGTATTTTGAAAGCACATTCTTCACCTCCTAAAAAACTTGAGGGTTTTCCAAATCATTTCCTATTTGCAAGGGGAGAGGAAATCTATCACAAATATTTTTGAATATGAATCAAGCTAAGTGATGTTGCCCTAGGAAAGAGTACCAAAGAGGGAAAATGAGCAGATAAGGCAGAAATTAGTCAATATAATTATAACAGAAGTTTAGCTTACTGGTCTTCAATACAGGATACACATACCCCAGAGGGTCAACAAAATGATGTACTGGTTGCAGTAAGAAAACATCAGAGTTTCTATTTATTTTTATCTCATTCTTTTTAATTTCTGTTTTTGTGAACATTTCATAATATAGAAAATATATTAGTACAATAGTTCATGAATATAACTTATAAATAAATATACATTTATTGTGGGGATACTAGCTCTACCGTTTTTTTACTTATAGAAGTACGTAACCAAATAAGTTTGGGGACTAACAATTTAGATGGAGAAAGTCCAATCTTCAAAAGAGCTACAGCCCCTGCCACAATTGTGCTTAAAGAAAAAAATTTGAAATGTTTCTTCTCTGGGGAGAAGTCCTAATTTATGTCATTGCTGTGAAATGGCAATATCATATTATAGCTAAGAGGATGTGTAGCATATGCTGGGAAAGGGTAAATAGACCTGAGAAAGGCAGACCACCATACTTTTTTGGACATTGTATCATATTCCTTTTTGAGGTTATCAATAGTTTTCTTTTCTTCAACTAAGGCCTCTTCGATGTCCAGCCTTTTCTCTCGAAGTTGAAGGGCCAGTTCAAAAAGACCCGTATCGCAATCTGAAAAGACAGTCAAAATGAAAAAGCAGCCCCATTTGTTATGGAATGTAGTGGACTTTGGATCTTCAGAATTAATCACCTCCATTTGTGGATTCACTCTAGCAAGGTTTTACTACACTTAGGGCTCCATTGCTTTAGCTAGAAATTATTACTACTAATAATAATTATGATAGTAATTATGAAATTAGTATTGATGTTCTGAGCAGTACTCTGAGCCAGGCTCGGTGCTAGGCTCTTTATGTATGTTATCTCACTCAAGGCTCATAGGCCCTGCAAGGAAGAAATGATTGTGCCATTTTATGGGTGAGGACTCTAAGTCTCAGAGAGGTCACCTAGCTGATAACGTGACAGAATGGGACGAAAGTACACTTCTATTAATTTCCACTATTTCACACTAACAGCCACATTTATCCACTGAGAAATACATAGAGAGTGTGAAAATGTGATAGAGTACCACCACGGAATTTAGGAACCTTTGTTCTTGCCCTAGTTCTACCGCTGAACTACAGGGAGACTTTGTTCAAGCCCTGTAATCCCGCTAGAAAAGAACAAGTTGCATTACAAGATTTAGCTCTCTTCCACTCATAAATATTATAATTTTAAGAAGATTCTTATTTTCAACATCAAAACAAGATTTAGGGGCTGGCTTGGTGGTGTAGTGGTTAAGTTTGTGTGCTCCACTTCGGTGGGCCAGGATTTGTGGGTTTGGATCCCAGGTGTGGACCTAGCACTGCTTGTCAAGCCACACTGTGGCAGCATCCCACATAAAATGGAGGAAGATAGGCACAGATGTTAGCTCAATGACAATCTTCCTCAAGCAAAACGAGGAAGATTGGCAACAGTTGTGAGCTCAGGGCCAATCCTCCTCACAAAAAAAAACCCCAAACAAAATTTAAATGTTATTTGAAATTAAACTTAAAATTTGATTTAAAATTTACAAGAAATGTCTAGAAAAACAAATTTTAGACCAACAAGAAATTGGTTTTTTCCTACAGAATCATTCATCTATTGGGACTGTAAGAATATTGGTCTGACTGCTTCTTTCTGGTTTCAACAGAGAAAACAGTGAATACAAGTTGTCAAGCATCTCTCGGAAACTAGCACAAATTGCTCTTACAAAACAGATCTGAAATGTGAAACATCTGAATGGGTTTTTCAAAAAGGAAGAGCTCTGTAAAAAAAAAATTTAACTATATATATAAAAAACAATCTTCTATTTCTCCATAAAATGAAATGCTGTATAATTTATGACTCAATCAACTATAAACTATCTGAAGATTAATTTGTCACTTACAAATGGTTGCCTAAGGGAAGAGAATATAAATCACCCAGAGAGCCCCAAAAAGTATTCATTAGACTATGCTGCCTACATCTTAAATCATCCTTTCTTTAAATTCTATTATGAGACAATTGAGAAACCAGAAAAAGAACCTTCTTGGGACTGTCAATCCATAGTCACACTTCACAGAGAACACATGGTTTTAACCAACTTACTTGTTGGGCAGATAGAATCATCAAAAACCTCATCTTCAGATCCAGACTCATCCTCATCACTCTCCAAGCTGGACTCTTCCTCACTTGATTCATCACTATCTTCATCTTCATCTAAGGAGAGAAGAAAAATTGTTAATAAGCAGAGAAGTTCCTGCATTGAGCTAAATCTCAGATTTTTAAAATAAAGTATTTTTCAATGAGTTGGTCACTAGGAAGAGAACAAAGATAAAGCAGGAAAATAATATGTTTAGAAGAGTTTAAAATGGTTAAGGTCACAGAGACCACAAACTCAAATGCCTGCAGAAGGATGTGCAGTTAATCTCAATGCATTCAGTCAGAGAGGGTTGAGACTAAGCTGCTTATACTGTGACCCACCTAACACATGCCTGGTTACACAGGCCCACAGTTCCTGAATCATAGTGCTCTGAAAACAGAGGAGATTTTCATAACTTATCTCAACCGAAGAAAGCTTAGTGTGAATATGCGTGTCCTGTTGCAGAAGTGTTAAGATGCTTGATTTAGAGATCCTGCACCAAATCCTCCTATGGATGTTAGTTGACAGACTCTCTTTTGACCAAACTTGAGTCAGGCTCCTTTGAGTCCTTTCTGACTAGTCCCTGACCTTGGGCTCTGTCCTTGGCCCCTGTCCTTGGCCCATTTAGTCCTGCATTAGCAAGAATACTGCTGAGTTGGTTTAGTAAAAAGCCCCCACACTTGATATCTGATTAAATTCTTTATTCCCTAGCCTCAATGTCTTATCACTCTGGCCTACCTTCAGCAAGAATCCTGTAGATCAGTTTAGCAAAGAATCACCTCTTAGTAATTTTCCACCCGCTGACCCCCACCCTGCTCCTTGGCTATGAATCTCCACTTGTCCTTGTTGTATTCAGAGTTGAGCTGACCCCTCTCCCTACTACAAAATCTCATTGTAGTAGTCCCCCTGAGTAAAGTCTGCCTTGTTGTTCTTTAACAAATGTCATGAATAATTATTTTCTTTAACAATGTCATATGCAATGTCTTTTATAAAATATAAAAATTTTTGAATACTAAAAACACATCCGCCCCCCAAGAGTTTTGGATAAGGGATTGTGGACCTCCCCCACCCAATTCTGCCCTATTTCCTTGTAAAACACCTTAAGGTTATCTATAAACCATGGATCACCAATTGGCAATTTCTATTTTATGGAAAATCAATTTAGCAATAAGAGCTGGACTTCATACTCTCTAGAAGATTTCTTAAATTTAAGATCTCTCTTAAAATTACTTTAAGCGATCTGTACAGTGGTTTATGAAATAAATCAGCAAAGTTTAAAATTAGACTTCAAAATTCTTACACAGTCTTCTGCTTTCAGGAAGATGGGGTAGATCTATTTTTCGCTATTCCTCCCAACAAACATAGCTAAAAACTCTGGACGTTATGTATAAAACAAATATAAGAAGACTCTGAAAAGTGGAAGATGGAGGCAGATATACTATGCACCTAAGAACCCAAGGAACCACACTGTGGAGAGTTCCTTGGGTATTCTTTTTGACTCATATATCTCAGACGTGGAGATGAATAAGTCAGTGATCTGGAACCACCAACAGGTACAGATATGAAAAGGTCCAACAAGAGCCTGCTTTTCTAGCCAAACTACTAGGAAAGAAGCAGTGTAGCAAGAGAAAACTTTTAGACAATATTCCAACTGTCGAAGCAAATAATCCATAATCAATCTATAAATCTAAATTTGGGGTGAGTTTATTATGAGCCAGTTCTGAGGACTATAGCCTGGGGCCCTCTTTCCCCAAAGAAGGAAGGGCATGAAAGAAGTGGGGCGTACAGAGTGGTTATATACCATCTTGGAACAAAGAGCATACATCACATATGACAGGAATATCTCTTTTACTACTGTCACGAGATGCTTAGCTGGCACAGCAGCTCAGTGGCCAGTGGGTCAGTGGTCACAAGGTGAGCATAGCAGGTCAGTAATTAATCCTTAGTTTCCAGGGAGAGATGCTTATCCTTAAGGAAATGCCAATATGGTGGGGAAGCTACCTCCCTATCTTTAAGGGCATCATTCTCGTCTTTGAGATATTGTAATGTTTAAAGCAGATGAACAACACACGCTCATGAGGCCACATCAGGCCCTTTTGGAAAAACAAGGTCAGGCCAAATAAGATTTAAACCAAATGGCTTCCTCATATACTCCAATATATCCTATTGCTTTTCACTTATTTACACAACCAAACACCACAGGAAAAAACTGCGATATTATATCCACTCATATCAGCAAAGGCCAAAGGGGGAGCAAGACGTCCACCGTTGCAAAGCTGTGATGAGGCACCCCTACATTCCCACCAGGATGGTGCCAGAGAAGACCAAGTGAGGAACTAGGACATTTACTCCTGCTGGCTGGTAACCAGCTCTCCCTGCCTCAACCAAGGTGTCTGTGGAGGCTAAATGGGTAGCCCGGACTTCCACTCTCACCTGGCAGTAACAAGGTTCCCTTCCACCTCCCCAGAGAGGTGGTGTCAGAAGAACCCTAGTGGAGAGTCAGAACTTTCACCTTTGCCCAGAGGTACCAAGGCCACCACTACCATGTTGTCAGTAGAGACTATGCAGGGGAGCTGGAACTCCCATCCACACATAGCAATAACAAGGAGATCCACTCCCACCTTGGGTGACAGCGAAGGTTGAATACCTCTACCTGGCAGTAAGGAGTGGGCACCCATCCCTTTCTCTGGCAGAGTGGTGTTAGAGAAAGCCAAGTAAAACAGAAGATTTAAATAAGATACAGTCTTATAACGCAATGTGAAAGTTTCCAGGTTTCAATTGCAGGTGACTCATCACATCAAGAACCAGGAAGATCTCCAACTGAATGAGAAGAGACAACCAATAAATATCAACACTATGATGACGGAAATGTTAGAATTATCTGACGAAGCATTTAAAACAGCCATGAAAAAAAGGCTTCAATGAGCAATTATGAAGACACTTTAAGCAAATGAAAAAATACAAAGCCTCAGCAAAGAAATAAAAAGTCTCAGCTAAAAAAAAAAAAGTTATAAAAGAACTAAATGGAGGGGGCCAGCCCTGTGGCCAAGTGGTTACATTCGTGCGCTCCGCTTCGGCGGCTCAGGGTTTGGATCCTGGGCGCAGACATGGCACTGCTCATTAGGCCATGTTGAGGTGGTATCTCACATGCCACAACTAGAAGGACCCACAACTATGTGCTGGAGGGATTTGGGGAGAAAATAAAGCAGGGGAAAAAAAAGAAGATTGGCGACAGTTGTTAACTCAGGTGTCTTTAAAAAAAAAAAAGAACTAAATGGAAATTTTAGAACTGAAAAATACAGTAACTAGAATAAAAACTGTATGGGTAGGCTCAAAAGCTGAATAGAAGGGACAGAGAAAAGAATAAGTGAACTTGAAGAGAGAACAATAGAAATTAGCCAATTTGACCAACAGAAAGAAAACAGACTGAAAAACAAGCAAACAAACCCCACACCCTAGAGCCTCAGGGACCTATGGGACTATAACAAAAGACCTAAAATTCACGCCACCAGAGTCCCAGAAGGGGTTAAAAAAGAGGGAGTCTTTAAAAGTACTTGAAGAAATAATGGCTGAAAACTTTTCAAATTTGGAAAAAGACATCAACTTACAGGCTAAAGAAGTTTAGTGAACTCTAAACAGGATAAACTCAAAGAAATATACACCAAGACACATCACAGTCAAACTTCTGAACACTAAAGACAGAAAAAATCTTGAAGGTAGTGACAGAAAAGTGATACTTTACCTACAGGGGATAAACAATTTAAATATCAGAGAGTTTCTCATCAGAAACCATGGAGGCCAGAGGAAGTGGCACAATGTATTTCAAGTGCTGAAAGAAAAGAAATATCAACCTAGAATCCTATACCCAGTGAAAATGTCTTTCAGAAATAGAGGGGAAATTAAGACATTCTCAGATTAAGAAAAAATAAGAAAATTTGCCACTAGTATACCTATCCTAAAAGAATGGATAAAGGAAATTCCCTAAACAGAAGGGAATTTTTTTTTAAAGGAACCTTGGAACATCAGGAAGGAGGAAAGAACATGGTAAGCAAAACTATGGGTAAATACAAAGGCTTTCCTCCTCCAAGTGTTTAAATTAAGTTTGCTGATTGAATCAAAAATTATATCAACACCTGATGTAGCTCTAGATGTATTCAGAGGAAACACTCAAAACAATTATATTATAAATGGGAGAGATAAAAGGATGTTAAAGTAGGTAAGGATTTCCTACTTATACTGGTAAAATGATGACACTGGTGGACTGGGATAAATTATGTATACAAAATGCAATATAGAGAGCAACCACTAAAAAAGTTGTACAAAGAGATACACTCAAAAACACTACAGAAAATTAAAGCGGAATTTTAAAAAATGTTCAAGTAACCAACAGGAAGGTATGAAAAAGAAAAAAGACAGGAAACAGGAAGGATAGCAACAAATGAAAAAAATGGCAGACCTCAGTCCTAATATTCTAATATATCAAACATAAATGCTTTAAATACACCCATTAAAAGAGAGCGGATGAAAAACATTATTTAACCATATGCTGTCTACAAGAAATTCACTTCTAATATGATATAGTTAAGTTGAAAGTAAAAGGAGGGAAAAGAGAAATCAGGCAAATATTAATCAAAGCAAAGCAGGAATAGCTCTATTAATGTCAGATAAAGTAGACTTCAGAGCCCAGAAAATTACCTGAGACAGAGAGAGACCCTATATAATGATAAAAGTGTCAGTTTACCAAGAAGACACAGCAATCCCAAATGAGCACGCATAAAACAACACAGCTGCAAAATATGTGAAGCAAAAACTGAAGAAAATGAAAGGATAAATAGACAAATCCATGATTCTATCTGGAGCCTTCAACCCCCTCTCTCTCAACATTTGATGGAAGAACTACAGTACAGAAAATTAGCAAAGACACAGGACACCTGAACAGCGCCAACAACAGACAGGAGCTAACTGATAGTAATAGAACACTTCACCCAAAACAGCAGAATACACATTGTTGGCAAGTGCCCCACAGAACATATACCAAGATAGACCATACGTTAGACCATAAAACAAATCTCACCTATAAAAGAATTGAAATCATACCTAGTACGTTCTCTGACCACAACGGAATCAAACTAGAAATCAATGAGAGAAAGCTAACAGGAAGATCTCAGGACACTTGGACCTAAACAACACACTTCTGTATAATCCATGAGACCCAGAAGCAGTCTCAATATAAATCTTAAAACCACATTGACCTGAGTGAAAATGAAAATGCAACTTTCTAAAATTTTGAGAGAAAAATTTATAGTACTAAATTAGAAAAGAGGAAAAGTCTCAAATCAATAATTTAAGTTCCCAGCTCAAAACCTAAAAACAGAAGTGCAAAACAGAAGGAAGGCAATAGTAAAGGGCAGAAATCAATAAAATCAAAAGCAGGAAAACAATAGAGAAAATCACTTGCAAAAAGAACTGGCTTGTTCTTGAAATGATCAATTAAATTGACAAAGCTCTAGCAAGACTGAAAATAGAATAGAAAGAAAAGAACAAAGTTACAAATATCAAGAATGCACCAGGTGACATTACTACAGACACTGCAGATGCTAAAAAGATAACAAGAAAATACAATGAACATAAATTTGGCATCTTGGACAAAATAGACGAATTCTACAAAAAATGCAAACTACCACAACTCACTCAATATGAAATACATAATTTGAATAGTTCTATAACTATTAAGAAAATCGAACTTATAATTTTAAAATTCCTCTCAAGAAATCTACTGGTCCAAATAATTTCACTGGAGAACTCTACCAAACACTTAAAGAATTACCAGCAATTCTACACAATATCTTCCAGAAAAATCAAAAAGGAGAGATGTCTTCCTAATTTATATTTTGCAGCTAGTATTATTCTGATACTAAAACCAGAAAAAGACAGTACAAAAAAAGAAAGCTACAGACCAATGATCCTCATGAATATAGACACAAAATTTCTCAATAAAATATTAGCAAGTAGAATACAACAGTATATAAAAAGAATTTTATACCATACCAAGGCAAGAATATTTCAAGTGTGCAAGTCTGGATCGATAATCAGTAATCAGCCAATACAACCCACCATATTAAAAATCACATAATCATCAATCAATGCAGAAAAGCATCTGACAAAATTCAACACCCATTTGTGAGAAAAACTCATGAAAAGTATCTATGAAACACCTACAGGGAGCATACTTAATGGTAAAAAACTGCATGCTTTCCCCCCTAAGATTGGGAATAAGGCAAAGAGGTCAGCTCTCAGCCCTCTGTTTCAACATAGTACTGGATATTCTAACCAGTGCAAGGCAAGAAAAGGAAATTGGCATTCACATCAGAAAGAAAGGAACAAAACCGCCCCTATTTGCAGATGAAATTATTGTCTATGTAGAAATTCCCAAGGAATCCATCAAAAACTCCTAGAACTAGTAAGTGAAGTCACAACATATGAGACAAATATCTAAAAAGCAATTGTATTTCTATATACTAGTATGAACATGTGGACACCAATATTAAAAACAAAATAGCATTTAAAATCACTCACAAAAAAGTAAATACTTAAGTGTAAATCTGACAAAATATGAACAAGAATTATATGTTGAAAACTACACAATGCTGATGACAGAAATCAAAGATCTAAATAAAAGCATACTGTGCTCATGCAGCAGAAGATTCAACACAGCAAAGATGCCAATTCTCTCCAAATTGATAAAGTTTCACACAATTACTATAAAAATTGCCACAAATATTTGTAGATATAAAAAAATTCTAATGTATGGAAATATAAAGGAACTAGAATAGCTAAAAGAATTTTGAAAAAGAAGAATAAAGTAGGAGGAATTAGTCTGAATTCAGTACTCAGTAGCTAATCCAGACTGCAATGTTGGTGGAGAGAGCAGTGCAGAGATTCATAGAACAGAACAGAGAACCCAGAAATAGAGCCCCACAAATAGGCCCAAATAATTTTTGACAAAGACCGAAAGCAATTCAATGGAAGGGAAACAGCCTTTTCAACAAATGGTGCGAGAACAACTGGACATTCACAGGAGGAGAAAGAGAACCTTGGCCTAAGTCTCATACCTTCTACAAAAATGAACTCCAAAGGGATCACAGACTTAAATGTAAAACGTAAAACTACAACACTCTTCAGAAAAAAAAATAGAAAATCTCTGGGACCTAGAAATGGGCAAAGAGTTCTTAGGCTTGACACCAAAAAAAGAGCCATAAAAAGAAAAACCGACAAATTGGACAAGAACAAAATTAGCAACTATGGCTCTGTGGAAGACCCTGTAAGGAAGGAAACAGACAAGCTACAGGCTGGGAGAAAATATCTGCAAACCACATATCTGACCCAGGACAGAACTCTCAAAACGCAACACAAAAGCAAACGATCGTATTCAAACATGGGCAAAAGACACGAAGAGAGATTTTACTGAAGACGATATACAGGTGATAAACACGTGAAAAGACGCGCCTGGTCACAGAGACGACAATATGCTATCTCACAGCAGACACAAACACACACAAATTACCTCCAGCTGGTTAGAGGCCTAAAGGTTTCTATTGTCTCTTTAACTCCACAGGGCTCTACACTGTCTATGTTGTAGGGGGAAGAAAGTGTCTAATATGTCCCTTAGTTATTTCTCTATTTCATGCTAATGAGAAAAAATAAGATCATATGTAAGAAAGATACAAACCAGCATCCCCTTCAACTTCCTTTTTCTTCGACCGCTTAATCCTTTTCTTCAGGACCTTCATGAGGAAGTTAGCAAATTTATTGTTTTCTCCAAGGGCTGCTTGGAAACCAGCATAGAGTGCCTTTTCTTGGTCCTGAAGCCTGGCGACTTCATTCTTTTTCTCTTCCATCTCTTTAAGAGTTTCATTTATTTTCCACTGAATGAACAAAAACAAGAACAAAGGATAAATATTTCTGATAAGCCAGGTTTAGAGAACAATGTACATTACAATGTAAGGTTATAATCTATGAATATTTTTTAAAGCTTCTTAACAGAAGTTGACATCTCTGGTGTTTGCAGAGCCATCCATTTATCTGGTTAAAATTTTATAATTCTTTTGTAAAAATCAGTTAAGTTCAGAATCAGATAAGATCAGCTTTTTAACTTTTAGCTTCCTCGAAAAATTTAAATTAAATTGAAATTTTTACTGATATGTGGATGTCAGCTAATATTTTTGTATGTGTGGTCTTAAAAACAAAGGGTTTTTTTATATCAATATATGGTAACTAAAACAAAAAGACACCTCATCTCTTAGTGAAGCTGATATGCATAAAAAATGATGTCACTATTCAGTATATAATATCTATTTAATAGAATCTTTCTTCCTTTAAAACAAAGATAGATGGTATAATTCATCTCTTTAAATTTAACATATGTAGGAGACAATTTCCTATGACATTCAATTATATATTACTCTGAAACTGGCTATATTTGAGAAACTCACCTTCTTTTCCAAATAATGTTTGTAAGGATAACAAATAAAACACATCAAAACTTAACTTCATTTGATAGCTAGTGACAAGAAAAATATACACTTTTCAAGTCAATAGATAAACTAAATATAAGGTTCACTTTTGAAAATTTTGTTCTCTTATTTTACACAATATCAAATTCACTAAAAAAAAAAATTGATTCACTTCTCTCTGACCAAGGTTACTAAAACAGAGAGCAAGCAGGAAGAACAGGCAGAAGGTGGAGGGAGAGAAGATGAGGACATGAAGAGGGGGGAATTAAGTTGAGAAAAGGGAGAAAGAAAAGCAGAGACATGTCCCCTCCCCCTCCGTGACTAAGGGCGCGGCCAGCTCGCGTTCTCCCGCCCGCTCATACCTGCAAGTCCTGTTCCTCCTTGTCTAACGAATTAACACGCTCTTGAAGTATGTTCTCCTGTTTTTCAAAATTCTTGAGGAGAAGGATTTCTTGAAATAATGTGACATGGTGCAGGTCAGACAATTTCATCTGAGTATCTAGTTTCAGTTTCTGATGTCTCAGGAGACGGAGTTCCGCATCGAAAGTGACAATCAGTTCTTTGATCTGGGAGGGAAAAGATTGGAGAGTATGTCAGAAGTTAAGAACAGGTAAATGCATTTATTAAAGTGTCTAACGATACTAATTTGTTTGAGTAAAAGATTTTCTCGTTACGCCCTTATTAAGGATGGAGAATTACATGGGAGTGTGTGTGTAGTCATATAAATCAATTCACCTAAGATTAAATTTATATAAATTAATTTTATTAAGTGATAGGAATTCCATAACTACAGTCCTTCCAGCTATTTCTTCACCACTGACTAAGCCATGGATCACCAAGGCCTGTCGTGCTCTGCTGTATGATTTAAACCTGAGACTCTGAGCAACTTGTGGGTAGTGTTGACACCTGCCTCCACTCTAGCCCCACAGTATCTCTCCATCGCCTTTCATACAGTAAGCATGAAAGAAATAGGTCCCTCGACTTATTTTGAAAATTTTCAAACCTACAGGACAGTAAATATTTTGGGATACATGTATATATAATGATGGAGCCACTAGAAACCTGCTCGACCTTCTTATATTACGTATAGATGAAGAAACTGAGGCTCAAGGTGATTTTCTGAGATCAAAGCTAATTTGTTACAGAGCTGGGACAGGAACCTAAGCATCCGCAAGTCCTGGTCTAGACCATATTCCACTGTTCACCTAATGATTCTAAATCCTCAAGCTTTGCTCTGATTTTGGCACAGCTTCTCCCTGACCTGATCCCAAAGGAGACGAAGAGATCCAAAGAGAGCCCCGAGAGCTCATTCTCCTGAGGAAGCTAGTACAAGAGGAAGACAAACCAGCCTATGTTTGTCATTGGGCTGTACATGACAGGGAGCTGTACTAGCAAATGTCCGCAGTGAGTGAGGGCCCAGCCGGGGCTGAGGAAGAGGAAGAGACCTGTGCATTTGGGGCAGTGAAAATGCTGGAGAATTTCAGAGAGTTAAAACAACAACAAAAAACCAAGAAGAAGAAAAACTAAAATTTTAACTATGTATGTCTGTAGACTAAGTAGGCTCCTCTTTAACACTTGTTCAACAAATCTGAATTGTTTTTAAATTTCTTTGGAGGCAGGACCGTATTTTCTTCAGCGTGACACCATTCTGAAACTGTACCGCATAGGTGTCCAAGTTTGTGAGGGTCACACTCGATTTACTCTCTCCCACCCCTCACAGCCTGTAAACTGTGTGAGGACAGAGAATGTGCCTGGCTTAATAACTGTTGCAACCCTACTACCTAGCTAGCACTGTCCCTGCACATAAAATGTCTAATAAATATTTGTTAAATTAATAACTAAATCAGTTACAATTAAATCAATCAAAATTTTTTACTGAATATCTACAATCTGTCCAGCGTTGTCCTAAACACTGCAGGGAAATCAGAAGCAGCACATGAGGTCCTTCCTTCCAGAACTGCATAATTTAATTTACAAGACAAAACTAACACACAAAACAGCAAGCAAAATAAGTGCAAAACACGAGGTGCTGGTTACAGGTGCAATTGGAGTTTAGAAAGAAGGAGAGTATGCAATGTGGGCAGAAGATTCTGGAGAGGGTTTGGAACTGGGCTGAGTTTTGAACGATGACTCAACTTTGGAAGGAAGTCATTGCAGGTTGAAAGAAATAGCAAAGGAAAAAGCATGGATATAAAACTCAGAAAGAGGGGAGAAGCAGGAAGAGTGAGAAAACGGGCTGGATGAAATGAAAACAGTGAGTGAAGAATAAGGTTGAGAAGCTGTGGGGGGGGGGGGGGGGTGGCCCTCACAGGGTGGAGCCAGAGAGACACACTGAAGAAGAGGATGCTATACAGGTGGAAGCAGGGAGCTATCTATCCAGGAAAGGTCCTTTTCTTTCCATATTCAGAGCAGCTCCTGCACAACTGGCCCCAGCCTGGTTCTGACTTTCCCAGAAATAAAAACAGTCACCATTCCAGCTCCAGAAAAATTTTAAGTCAGTCATCACCATGAACATCCCCACTAATGGAGCAAACCACACACGAGAGGAAGAGGAGTGTGTGAAAAGCAGAGGGAGCCTCAATTTTCCCTGGAAGTTTCCATCCATCGTCTGAAAGCTGCTCCATCACTTCCTCTTTACCATGACTTCAGTTAGACGCCAATTAACATGGATTTGCCCTACATTCTTGGTCAGCTTTCCAAAAAGAAAAAAGTTAAAAAGCTCCAAAGTTCTGGGCAGAGCACAATGATTTTCAGAAGACCAGGGATGAGGAGGAAGCCAAGACACCAGTGAGCTGTGGCCTGATCAGGGTTTGGGGAAGGTTAATGCAGACAAATTTAAAACAAATAAGAAACCAGATCTAGGTCTTCCCCTTTCCTCTCCTTCAGCTTTGAACGGGCACGGTCTCGCCCTTACCCTGTTGGTCAAATACTGTTGCATGTACATGTGTTTAATCTCGTCCCTCTTCATAACCTCCAGCTCCACTTCGGTTGGATCTGCTCTCTCAAATTCCAAAAGCTTCGGAACCTCGAGACCGAATGATGATGCCTTTGATGATCTAGACAATGAATCTCGTGTCGTCAGATCCCCGTCCTTTCCAGAAGAGATTCTGAGGAATCCTCCAGCTGAGCCTGAAGACCCTGCACATTCCACTTCGGGGTCCTTTCCAGCCCGACTTTTCATCTGCTGTCTCTTAAAAACTAGGAGAGTTTCCTCATCATACTGAAATCTCTTTTCGGGAACTTCTTCCGGGTGTATCTGAGGGATTTGGGGGATGGGGACGTGCTTAGATATATGAAGAGTCGACTGAATGTTCTTCACTTCTTGGACCAGGCACTGTATTTCCTCGATGACAGCCACTTTAAGGTCTCGAAGAGAGAGGATGCACTTGTTCATGTGCATTTTCTTTGAATGGGCCTGATAAAAAGAACAGGAAGGAAAAAAAATGACAACGCATTCACAAAGGACAGTTTGAAACAGGACTTGCTTTTGTCCCTTGACCAGTATGCCTCATAAAAATTCAAGGTAAAAATTCATCTGATCATTTCTGTTCACTACTAAGTTACTCTTTCCTCTAGCTTTTAGTTTTTTTCCCCTCCAGCCTCTCCAAAAAGGGAGATAATCTGGATGTGACGTCTCGTGTCCTTCAGCTGGATCATTGGGCTGAGTCCCCCTGTCCTCCTCCCACTGCTCAGTGCAAGTCCCTCTTGAAGCCTTCTATTCAGCCAGATCCCAGGGAGGGAAGATCATTCTTTGGTCGGAAACACACAAGTAACTGCCCTTCCCTGATGGAAACTCAAATCCCGCTGGCTTATACTCACTTAGGGTTGCCCACCTGGGGCCAAACTACAGTTTAGCCTGTCTTCATTCTATATTTTGGTCACATTATTACTGTTACTCCTTGAGCAGGCAAGGTCATGACCCTGAATTTCAGGGTCATGTCACACCAAGAGATTCCAAGACACTTCCTCAGTTCCTTCTCCATTTATCTAAGCCACGCTGTGCCCCCTGCCTCCAGCCACAGGTGCCACACAGGCCCATTGCTCCTCATTACAGCTCTCTCCCCACTCTGTTTCCTATTGACCTTACCAGAGCCTATGGGCACATGCAAGCCTACTCCTGTGTGCAGTTAGGAAACTAGGTAGTCCAAAGGCTATTAAGAGTTACTTTGCATAAATATATAGGTTAAAAAAGATCAAAAGGCACTTCTCCAAGCAGTTTTACAAAACTTACCTGTATATTTACTATCTATAAAACAAAATTCTGGAACAAAATAGAGGAGATGTTTTACATAATTAGGAGCAAACCTTTAATGTGTTAGAAATTTAAACTCAAAATCCAGCACTCAAGTGAGTGGGGACCATTTCTGAAGCACCAGATGGACTGAGAATTAAGCTTAAAAGAACAAATCCAAACCAGTCTGATGTCGGTGAGGCCTACCTCTTTGAGGAGCCCTCTTTACACACCAACCTTTTCTTTCTATTTTTCCAAATATCACACTCACCAAAACATTGGCCTGGGGGAGGGAGGATGTATAATACACTATTTCTAAAATGCTTTATACTTCAATGACTTTTAATTTAACTGTGACAATAATGACCATTTATTGACTTTGACCATTACACTAACCCTATGAGGTAGACCAGCCATGTCTTATTGTTGTTAATTGGTATTAACATCCTTTTTACAGACAATATAACTAAAGCTGAGGGAGACTTATGTGGCTGGAAAAGTTCACATGGCTATTAAGCAGCAGAGATGAGAACAGAACTCTGATCTTTTGACTTGCAGAATAGTGTGTTCTATACTATTTTACGCTGCCATTTAAATAAAATAGATTTCATTGTAATGCAGTTTAGTTCAAGACATCACACCTGTCCATCATCTCTAGCTAGACTTTAAAATTTCAGGTTGGATGACTGGCAAATTGTGGTCAAAAGAACATTTCTCTATGATGATGGATGGAACATGATAGATGAAACAAGAATTACCCTAGACAAACAGATAGAAAAACAATCCAAATTGGTCACTAATAAAATGTTCAAAATGCCTGTTTGACCAGAAAGGTACAGTTATAAGCTATGAAAATTTAATTGTAAATATGAATTGTCATACCAGGAATCTCATACTGCATGCACGTACAACATCTTTGGTGAAACAGAAAAAGACTCTCCTTCCTCAAGACATTTTACTTCCATTCATCAGAAAATTATAAACTATTCAAATATATCATATCTGTGATAAGACTGGCACTCTCTCCAATGTGATGCCCTGAAATGTGCAAACTGCACAGCCATCTTTGGGGGCCAGGTGCCAAATTCTCCTCAAAATGGGGGCTCAGATGCTTCTGAGCCTCTAAGTGTGAAAAGTCACTTGTCAGTTCAAATTAAAGAATTACTATGGCAGGGAGAGGAAACTTAAGTGAGAAAATGGGGATGAGAAATCAGGACTATTGGAAGCAGTTTGGAAGAACGCAGAGAGAATCAAAGAGGAATATATTAATTGGCTAGTATTGAGTCACCTACAAAAGTTTGGAAGTCCTGCAGAGAAAGGCTAAATATTGGCCTCTTTTCCTAGGTCTTTAGTCATCCATGGCAGCCAAAACCTACATCCAATAAGGATGTGTTTGAATTTCAGCGGTTTGGAGTCTATAAAATATAATGCTTTCACCCGTGAAACTGGTATTGAGCCAAGTAATTAATCTGAAGGCTGGTTCTGCCATATTAAGTAAATAATCATGGACAAATCTCTTGTCCTCACTGGGCCTCAGCTTCCTCATTTGTCAAAAGGGGGCATTATTGTAGATAATCATGAAGGTCTTTTCCAGTTGCAAATTTCTATGACCATATATCCTTATGGACCAGATAGCAAAATGGGTGGTTTTAGCAGAATTCAGTTAGACACTGAGGTGTCTCTCATTGTCACGAAAGCTGTGGGTAAGTACCAGAGAGTCTAGGTGTCCCAGTTCCTCTTCCTTCTTGGCAGCATTTATTCGCATGTGCTCAGGTATCTTATAGTCTGAGGCTGTCTTCAGATTGAAGTCTCCCATACACAACTGGGCCTCTTTGATGGCTTGAACATCTTTGGGATCTTCATAGTCATCATCAGGTTTACTCTTGTACCTATCAGAAAAATAGACAACCCAGTCACAAATATAACAAATAAAACAATAAACTCTAATTCCTCTACTTTACTGCAGGTAGAGAATCAAATTCAATCAGGGAGCAAAAGTATAATCCTGAGTCTGTGACGCTACTTTTGTCTCCAGAGCTCAAATATCTTTTTTTCTTTTAAATTAAGGACTATTTTTAAAGCCTGCCAAGCAAAATAATAAACAAGTAAAAACCAGTCACGAGATGGTGCTGAAACAATCTGAATCATTCTTAGGCTTTGGTTCACTTCTAAGTAATTTACATCAACATTTATTCCCTCAATAGAAATTAAGCCTTGAAGTTGGGGTGGGTTTTTTTTTTTTAATCACTAAAACTTTAATTGAAAAAATAGATAAATAAAAACAACTGAACTTTTTAAAAATAAAATGTGATTGTCATAACATTTTCAAAAAAGACATCTAGTTCAAAATGATAGCATGAGAATATGTATTTATCTCCCCACCTTTCCCCAAATTCCACAGAAATGATAGTATAGAGGTATTAAAGGGAATAAATCATGAGGAAAGCTGAGAATGGGATAGAAAGCCACGAGCAAACCAGAGATAGTGACACATTTCTAGGAGACAGAAAGAAGATGAAATCATATGAACCGATAAACCAGACCAATGAAAAATGTAGCCCAGATCACCCCCAGGAGAAGGCTATAAAAAAGATTGGATATGGTCTTCTTGGTAGAGTTCCTAAGAGGTTCCAAGCACAGAAGGAGCGCAGGTATGGAGCAGGGAATGAAATGATATACAGTGACAAAATTAATTAAAAATTGAAAACGAATGCCTGAACCAGGTGGGCCCTCCTAATTTTCCCATCTCCACACATACAAACCAGTAGCAACCTTTACATCTAGACGAAACCTGAAGAACTAATCTCTACAGAAACTGCCCTCTCTGCTTGGGAAGTACTAAGCCATCTAGGGTATGGGTGGGCACACCATGGTAGGGATCTTCATTGGGAGACCCCACCCTACCTAGTTCTTTAAAGTGAAGTCTGCCAATCAACATGAATATGTGCACAGAGCCTGCAGTGAGAAAACAAACATATACAATAGAAGAGGAAGCAGATGCCATCTAATGTATTCATTGACAATCATTCATTTGTGTATAACAGAACTAAAAGGGAGGGTTAATATGTAAAAAAATAAAAAAGGAAAGGAAGGAAAGACAGAAAGATGGAAAGCAAGCAAGCAGCTAGTTCTGCTCTGGCCATGTGAGAGAAACAAGGTCCATAATTATCTCATGCTATAAATAACTAGAAAACCAAATGAAAATACATGAAAAAACTATGTTGAGACATTGAATAACAGGCAGCACAGCACTGTAATCCCGGAGAGAAGCGAGACAAAATAAGCAGTCCTTACTATCTCCTGGTGTCTGCCTGGAGGAAAACCCTACTCCAGACTGTGGAGCAGGGTTGGGATCCAAAATATTAGCCCAGTGATCTCACTGATTGAGTCAAGAGAGATCAGAGAGGTGTTTAGAATTTTGTGGAAAAGAATATCAGAGCTACACAAAGAAACAGCTCTAGAAATCTGCATAGGGCTGTCGAGTTTGGGGCTGAGTATTCATCTGTACAGGTGTAACGTGGAACACCACGAAGTCAGACAAAGAACAGCACCTGGGGAAAGCACAGTTACCAGGAAGCTGTAAGACAAGTAATTCTCACAGCTTACACATTGCTAGGAATCACTCACGATCCCATCAGCTAGAGAGACCTTGTTAAATGCAGGGGCCATTCAGTAGAGACCCTACAAGAGTTATGCCTTCGAAGTGGGAAAAACAGATGTAGACAATATTGTCAATCACCTTGTCCTCATTGACATTTCTTGAACACTACATTCAAGAATGCAAGAATGCACACTTTTTTTCATGCACACATTGAAATTTCACTAAGATAGACTGTATGCAGACCTATACAATTCCCAATAAATTTAAAAGAATTTAAATCACACAGACTAGCTTCTATGACCACAACAAATTAATTTAGAATCAAACAGAAAGATTTTTTTAAACCCCAAAATATTTGGAAACTAAGAAGCACACTTCAAAACAAACCACAAGTAAAGGAAGAAGTCACAAGTGATATTAGAAAATATTTTGAACTGAATAACAAAAATATATCAAAACTTGTAAAATGCAGCTCAGGGCCTAGAGGGAAATTTATACTTATATTAGAAGAGGAGAAAAGTGTAAAATCAGAGCTTACACCTTAAACTTGAACCTTAAGAAGCAAGAAAAAAGAGTTAAAGTCCAAATTATCTAGAATGAAGGAAATTATATAGAACAGAAATCAATGACATAAAAAGCAGATAAGTAATATTTTAAAAAATCTGTGACCAAAAGCTAGTTGCTTGAAAAGATCAATAAAATTGATAAACCTCTTTTCTAGAATGATCAAGATAAAGAGAGAAAACACAAATTAACAAGGTAAAGAATAAAACAGGGGACAACACAACAGATAGTACAGAAACTAACATAATAAGAGAATAGTATGAACTATTTTATGCCAATAAATTTGATAACCTGCATGAAATGCACAAATTCCTTGAAAGACACAAATTACCAAAACTGCCACAAGAAGAAACAGAAAATCTGAACAGCACTATAACAAAAAATTGACTTTGTATTTATAACCTTCCTTCAAAGAATACTCCAGATCCAGATGGCTTCACTGATAAATTCTATCAAATATTTAAGGAAGAAACAATACCAAACCTACCTAATTTATTTCAAAATAGAAGTGGAAGGAAAACTTCTCAACTCATTTATGAAACCGTTATTACCCTGATGACAACCCAGAAAAGATATTACATAAAAATAAAACTAGAGACCAATATTCTTCATTAACACAGGTATACAAATCCTTAACAAAATACTAGCAAATCAAATCCAGCATGATATTTTTTGAAAATATCAAGTATATTATATTTTTCCAGTTTTATTGAGATATAACTGACATATAATGTTGTCTTAGTTTAAGGTGTACCACATAATGATTTGATATACGTATATATTACAAAATGTTTACCACGATAAGTTTAGCTAACATCCTCACCATACATAATTACAAGCTTTTTCCCTTGTAATGAGAGCTTTTAAGATCTACTCTCTTAGCAATATACAAAACAGTATTGATAATTTAATCATCATGCTCTGTATTACATCCCCAGAATTTATCTATCTTATAACTGGAAGTTTGTACCTTTTGACTACCTTTAGTCATTTTCCCCATTCCCTGTTCCCCACCTCTAGCAACCAGCAAACTGTTTCAGTGAGTTCAGATTTTTTAGATTCCATATATGTGAGATCATACAGTATTGCTCTTTCTCTGTATGACTTATTTCACTTAGTATAATACCCTTACGGTCCATCTGTATTGTTGCAAATAGCAGCATTTCCTTCCTTTTTCGTCTGAACAATATTCCATTCTGTATATGTATCACAACTTCTTTATCTATTCATCCATTGATGGAGACCTAGGTTGTTTCGATGTCTTGGCTATTGTAAATAATACCGCAATGAACATGAGGGTGCACGTATCTCTTTGAGATACTGATTTCAATTCCTTTGGATAAATACCCAGAAGTGGAGTAGCTGGATCATATGGTAGATCTATTTTTAATTTTTTTAGGAACCTCTATACTGTTTTCCATAGTAGCTGCACCAATTTACATTCCCACCAACAGCGGACAAGTGCTCTGTGAAAGACCGTGTTAAGAGAATGAAAAGCTACAGTTGAGGAGAAAATATATGCAAACCACATGTCCAACACAGGGCTAATATCTAGAATATATAAAGAACTCTCAAAACTCAACAGTAAAAAGGCATCTTATTTGAACATGAGTAAAGACATGAAGTGACATTTCGCCAAAGATAAATAGGTGACAAACAAATGAAAAGATGTGCTTGTTAAATGAAAGTGCCTTGTACCAGATTTTTTTTAAAAAGTTAACTTTAGATGATTAGAGACCTAAAGATGAAAGCCAAAACTATAACATGTTAGAAGAACCTATGGGATAATACCTGTTTGATGTTGGGATAGAAAAGAATTTCTTAATCTTTAAAAATCACAGATATTAGTAAAATGGAATTCATGGACCTGAAACTAAGAATCATAGAAGTCCCACCAAGGTACCACCAGCCTGAAAGATCCAGCTGATCTGTCTTCAGTATCTCCGTCTTGTTTTTATTTCTTTCACTCTTTATTTAAACAATAATATCAATAAATATAAAGATTTTTAAAGATATTTTGAGACATTTTAAAACAATAGAGTTTAGGTAAAAAACTTACAGTTCCTCCCATTCTTTTTTTCGCTGCTGAATCTTAATTTGGGCCCTTTCAGCTTTTACTATAAGTTTCCTTGTTTTCTCAATTTGATTTTCCACCATAATTTCACTCAGAGTTTTAGGTCGAAATTTCTTCCCTTTTTCTATAATTGATTCTTCCGGCAGACTAATACTCCCACCTGTACAGAGAGCCAACATTTTTTAAAATCTTTTTGAGATAACGAAATAAAACTCTCAAATATTGTTTTTAAGCTGCCCCATTTTTAAAAATCCAGAGAATATAATGAATCTGTAAATCAAAGTATTTATTGAGCAACTACCATGAATTCAACCCCTTAATCAGTATTTTAGAATACCAAAATAAAGAGATTTAAGGCACAATTTTGCTCTTAAGGACCATATTAAAAAGTTGGCAAGATGAGACATATATTAACAAATTGGAGAAGGAGATAAATAATAGTGGATCACTGAGAGATATTGGAAAGACAGGAAGGAGTGTTTGTGATCTGATGGTGGGGGAAGGGCTCAAGAAGAGAATCCGATTTGACATGTGTAATCTGAGGTGACATACACCAATTGCAGTGGTCTGTGGCCAAATTAAAAACTAGTCAGAAACATACAATCAAATCTATGATTTTAAAATTATGGGCTTTATTAAGCAATAAGTATCTACTGGGGGAATTACCCTATGTTCAAGCTACACTTGAACATAGATATTCTTTTGAAGAGATATAGTTTAGATATACATGAAAAAAGTTAAATAATAATATGGGTGGTCATGCAGTTATAACTCACCATTGCATATTTCATATTTCAAATATATGTTAGCATGGAAAAGGAAGAGTTTAATGTGTCCTGGGAGGTCATGGAAAGGCTTTATAATAAAAGCATAATTCCATTTGGATCCCCAAAAACTGTAATTCAGAGAGAAGAGTGAATTGGTCACTTCAGCAGGAGCCTGGGTTTGAAAGTATCAGGCATAATTAGGGAGCAGCAAGCAGGACAGGAGGCTACACAATGCAAGTCAAACAGTATGAGAACACACTATTGGAAACAGAAGAGGGATGTATTCTGGAAGGATTAAATACCAGGAAGATAGCTTCAGAACCTATCCTAGAAGCAGAAAGGAGCCATTAAAGGTTTCTCAGCAAAGAGGATGAACCAGCATTAATGTCAGTACTGTATCATGGGCACTAGCCCAGATCTGGCTGGGCTCAGTGCCCTTTACTTATTCTTAAGTGGGCTCACCAAGCCATCCCAGAATTCTTGTCTTCCTCCCACCTATCTGCAGGCCCTCTGTGGGCAGCTACAAAGGCAGATGGCAGGGATTAGAGCTATTATTTTCACATCTGTGTTTTCAGTTCATCATTTTATTTAAAGCATATGCTCTTGTAAAATAGTTTGAAATGTCATGTTCCAGTCCCAACATTCTGGGGAGGGGCCCAGGAATCTGGGAAGAAATAGTCTAGAAACTAGCATCTAGGGAAATCCTAGATTTAAGAACAGTTGTATGTGAGAAGTAAGAACACAGCAGCATGGGGTACACTTAGCCACTCTGGGTCATGTGACCAGGGTGGGTTTTCTCTAGCAGCCAGCAGCAGAGAGGAAAGTTAGGATGGAGCAATGGCTGGAGAAATGTGGCCTCTTGTTTTCGGCCATACCACACACCGCTCTCTCTAATTATTCATTCCAAAGGAATAAAGGAAGGGAGACAAGAGACTGAGCTCAAGGCACCAAAAAGGGCTCAAAGGTTCTGCCCACAGAAAGATAATCCAGTTTTGAAATCTTAACAAAGGATTTAAAAGCCTCCTTGTCATTTAGGCTACCTGTGTCTCTCTGGCTGTCCTTTCTCCCAGCTCCCTCTTTTTCAAACCTCTCAAATTTGCTTGTTCTTCTCTCTGACTGACTTGCCCGTTTGGACCTGGAGTACTTAGAGGGCTTCACAAGCCTGTAGGAGGAGACCTTGTGATCACTTTGTATGGCATGAACCACAACCATGTCACTCTCTAATGAATCACGGAACCTGAAAAAATAAAACAAGTACTTGCAATAGTCACCATTTTAATCATTTAATTACACCATTTAAATCAGTTTGCATGATTATTAATAAAATAAGACTATAATACACTATGCTTATAAATAACATCATTATATTGTACTGGATACAAAATTTTACTATGCATTACCAACAAGGATGTGATGGAAGTTGGATAGGACTGGGTCAAAGAGCAAGCAGATTTTTCTTTCTAATGAAAATACTAAACAATTCATTATTAATCAGTATAGTACTATTGTTTTACTAATATGTAGAAAAATGAAAACTTTTCAGGCACGCTGCAGTTTAATGATAAACGGATCGTGTCAAACTCTGAGGAAATGTTGTCCACCTCCCTATCTATTATCTTTTATATACGTAATAGGTAATAGATAGGGAGGTAGATACAAAGTATATGAAATATATATATTACCCTATTTGCCTCTGTAAAAAACATTAAGCTCAGTAATTCATACTGCTGTCTGGTTCACCTTTCTCTTGTAGACCACAGAGATTTATCTTTTGAAAGCTCCTCATTCATTAGATCGCTGCTATTTTTTGGCACTGGTTCATAATTGTTCCCCCTTCTTTTAATTTTAGAATTTATTTATGTGTATAGCAATTATTCCTAGCTTGTTTGCCTTTCGTACTATTTTTCTAACTCAATCCTTTTAACTCTATTTCTCCTTTTAAAATGGCTAGTCCTAATTTTTCCTTTTCTCTCATAGCATAATATATTTCTCATCTCTATAAGACTTACTCCCTTTATCTGTTTGTCCACTGGAGTTTCACTCTTTAAATTTTAGACTTTCCATGAAACCCAGATAACAGGAAGGAAAATATGGATGGTTTTGATCACATCAAAATTTAAAACTTCTGCATAGTTAAAAAACTATGAATAACACTTAAGACAAATGGCAGAGTAGGAGAAAGCATTTGCAATATGTATAATAAAGTGAAAATACTTATAATACAGAAATAGAGACTAAAAATAAACAGAAATGAAAGAAATGAATGAAGAAGTAAACAGATAATTCTAAGAAGAAATATAAATAAACTATACACATACGAAATGCTCAACTTAACCAATGATCAAAAGAATGCAAATTATCCAACCAAGAGTTATCATCTTTGGCCTATTAAATTGGTGAAGATGAAAACACTGCTAATACCCAGTGCTATTCGTAGTCAACTTTATCCTCTTCCCCATTCCAGTCAGACACTTATGATTTCCTTCCACATGTTTATTGAAGACATGAAGCTATAGTGGGCACAGGGGTCTGGACCAGAAGAGGAAAGCAGGGAGTTAAGGAAACAAGTATTTGAGGGCAAGGGGAATAGTGAGGAAAGAGATGGGCAAATTGGGTCCTAGAGCCGCGGGCACTTTTTCTCCACTTCTGACAGCATTCGGGGAGACACAAGGCCTCAAAGATGATGGCTGCAAGTATATCTGATCCTGGGAACAGGGGCTCCTGGCCTTGTCAAAGATTGCCTTCTCCAGCAGAGCACAGAAACCATAGAACCAAAGAACTGAAAGAAACAGACAGGCTAGGACAATGAGCCTCAGAAGCAGAGACTGACTTTCCTGTCCGCCTGGTGGAATAGGAATCCAGAGTCAAATTTAAGTTAATGTAAATAAAATAAAGAACAGCAATATTGCTTATATACCTGAGTTTGTGAGTTAAGATTCATACTTGCCATATATATATACACACGTATATATAAATACATATATACACATTTACAGATATATTGTGAATATTTATTAAAGACAAACATAGGATACTATGTTGATGGTTCTTCCTGAAAAGAACTTCTTACCCACTTTCATTTCTTGTTGGGTAGCAATCATAGATAAAATTCAGGGATTCAAATATTCAAATAGTATCCAGGAATTCAAATATTCAGGGATACAATACCAGATAACAAGTGCCATAATTCACAGGCCAGAGGACCAGAGAGGAGATGCTGCACAGAGAGTGCTCTGGAGATCTGCAGAGGGCTCCCCTCCAGCCTTCAGGTGAGCAGCGATCAGCAGGGGCGCGTGATGAGTTTACCTGAGGCTGGAGAAAGGGCCACCAGAAGGGAACAGGTGGAATAATCCTCAGACCCCACACTGGTTGCAATAGCTCTGTTCCTACAATCCTCATAATACCTGGAACACAGGGTAGAATGCTCAGAAGGTTTTGTCCTAGCAGTGGGCAACAATTAGCTCTAGACTAAAGGCTGCCTGATCTCACCTAACAAAGATTAAAAGCAAGCCTCAAAAACTCAAACTATTTCCAAATAACTTAACTGAATCCCAGAACAAAGCTCAAGAATATTTAAAAGTATATAAAAAATACCCAGCATCCACAATGTAAAATTCACGATGCCTGGCATCCAATCAAAATTTTTTAGGCAGGCAAAGAAGAAGAAAAATGTGACACAAAATAAAGAGAAAAAAAAATCAATTAATAAAAACAGATCCAGAAATGACACAGATGATATAACTAGCAGACAAGAACATTAAAGCAGTTATTATAACATATTTTAACTGTTTAAGAAGGTAGAGGAAAGCACGAGCACATTAAGAGAAGCAAAATCCTCACCCATCATACTAGGAAGTCAATAAATGATGATTAATAATAAATTCATACAAATATATTATTTAGATATATAGTTGTAACCACTGGAAGAAATATTAAAAGTGGATTCTCTTTAAGGTTTATCATGTTTATCGATTGAAAAACTCAATATCTATTTTTAAAATGTCTGTTATGTCTAAGTTGATCTATAGATTCAATGTAATTCCAATCAAAACCTTAGGTTTTTTTGTGAAAATTAGCAAGTTGATTCTATTCAAAGAACCCAAGCAATATTGAAGATGAAAAACAAAACTAGAAGATTTACAATATCAGATGTCAATAATAATTAAGATAGTGTGATACTAGCACCAAAATAGATAGGCCTGTGGAATAGAATAAAGAGTTCAGGAATAGACTCATTCCTATATGATATATGATATATGACAAAACATCCCCACGATCCAGTGAGGAAAGGATGGTCTTTTCAACAAAATTGGTCAACTGGTTATCCATATTGAAACAAACGACACTTCATCTCTATCTTACACTCCCCACAAAATTATTCAAGATAGGTAACAGCAAAACAATTGAACTTCTCAAAGAAAACAGAGAAGAACAAAAGACTTGAACACACACCTAACAGAAGAGAATACACAAATAACCCATAAGAATAAGGAAAGGGGCTGAAAATCATCACTCATCTGGGAAATGCTGATTTAATTCCCACTGAGATACCACGGAATGGCTAAAATGTAAAGAATTGACAATACAAAGTGATGACAAGAGTGAGTGTTATGGGTTGAGTTATGTCCCCCAAAAAAGACATGTTGAGGTCCTAACCCTCAGTATCTCAGAATGTGACCTTATCTGGAAATAGGGTTTGACAGAGGTAATCAAGTTAAAATGAGATCATTTGGGTGGGTCCTAATCCAACATGACCAGTGTCCTTACAAAAAGAGGGAATTTGAATGTACACAGAGGGAAGATTATATGAAGAGACACAGAGAGCACCATGTGAAGGCAAAAGATTGGGAGTGATGCATCTACAAGCCAAGGAACATCAAAGCTGGCCTGCCAATCCCCAGAAGCTCAGACAGAGGCATGGAACAGATTCTCCCTCCCAGTTCTCAGAAGAAACCAACTCAGCCAACACTTTGGTTTTGGATTTCCAGCCTCTAGAATCGTCAGACAATAAATGTCTGTTATTTTAAGCCAACAAGTCTATGGTACTTTGTTATGGAAGCCCAAGGAAGTTAATACAATGGGGATCAATCAGAATTCTCATACAGTGATGATCAGAGTATAGGTTGGTTGAACCCTATTTGGAAAACTGTTTGGCAGTGTCTAATAAAGCTAAACATGCATATAGCCTATGACCCTCCACTCCTGGTTACATAGCAAACAAAAATAAATGCTTATGTTCACCAAAAACATGCATGAGAATGTCCATAGCAGCATTATTCGTAGTAGCCAAAAAATAGAAACAATTCAAATATCCATCAACAGTTAAATGAATAAACAAATTGTGATAAACCATTTAATAGAATATTACAAAACAAGGAAAAAGAATGAACTACTGCTACTTGCAACAACATGGGTAAACTTAGGCATGATACTAAGTTTAAAAAGTCAGGCACAAAGAGTTTAGTCATCAACATTGCATGTATATGCAGTTCACAGACAAAATTAATCTATAGTGACAAACATCCGTCTTTGGAAAGTAGATATTTACTGAGAGGCGGCCAGGGGGAACTTTCTGGAGTGCCATAAATGTTCTTAATCTGGGTGGTGGATATATGTGTTTATATATCTATAAAAATTTATTAAGATGTCCAGTTAAGATTTATGCATTTTATTGCATGTAAATTAAATCTCAAAAAGGCAAAAAAAAGCAATTTCCTCTGGGAAGTCATTCTAGTACATGAAAGGGATCAGACAGGAAGTCTTTCATTCTAAGTCCTCTGATTCTATTTTATTTTTATTTTATTCTACTTTATTTTTGATTTTGTAATATGTACATGCTTTGTCAAAAACAGAACGTAAGTATGTATTACATAATTTGGTGTGTGAAAAATCTAATTGTTAAACAAATTGCCAGATTTAAACTAGGAAAGAGTGAGTAGAAAGCCCAGGAAGATATGGTAGCAACGACACGGGAATTCCTTGAGATTTCAAGAGTTGGTGGGTACTTAAGGAGACTGCTTATCTGACCACTTTGATTAAGCCACTGTAAATGACTTTACTCAAATATATGCTCTCAAACATCTTAACTTGCAGGAAATATGGATCCTACCTATTCTGTAGCTTCATTAGGCCAATTCGATGTTTCTCTTTTTCCCAACCTAATTCCTTTTCCACTTGCTGAATTTTGTAAACTGTTTTTCTGTCAATCTCAGCACGAATTTTGGAATCTACATCAAAATCCTGCGGGTAAGTAGATTTGTTCATCAAATGGGCACTTTCATCAACGTACTTTATCAATCCTATTTCATACCCAGATACAGATTTTTAAGATTTGTCTTCAATTTCATGCTGCATCATAGCTCTCCCAAACATCATAAACTCTCTCCGTTTTAGAACGAAGTAGCATACTTTTGATCTCACTTCCACAAAATATGGAGAAAAGTTCTCAGAAATAATTAACAATCATGCAGATAAAGTTACATATTAAAAGATTTTTTCCCACAATAAAAATAATGAATGCTAACAGCATATTTGCAGTGTGTACAAAGTAAAAAAAAAGAAAAAATAGTCCCTTCACCCCAAAGCAACTACTATTACATAACCAGCCGGGCCCAGGGTAGAAGTTCATGGCGGTTGATCACTAGCTGAACATGCCCTCCCAGTTGACTCCACCCAGGAAAGATAGTCAAGTCTTTGGCGTCTTCTTGACATCAAGTTCTGGTTGAATGTCCTTCACCAAGCATGCCATTTTTCCCGTAAGGATACTTAGGGGCTTCCTTCGCTCCTGGAAGAATATCAGGCCTTCATTCACACTAAATTGTAAGTAATTATTTGTTCCAGAGGTGTTTGTATTTTAGTAACGATATGTGTAAAATGCTTAGCCACAGAATTTGCCTCAATTGTTCCATATTTTGAATTATGTCACCCACACTCTGCAAGTGTCAACCTTTTGCTTAGTAAAATAGCAGAAATGTCTTTTTAACCATTACAAGTCAGTCTTTCAACCAACATAATGAGTTAATGATTACGATTTCACCAAAGCATTTTTCACATGAAATTGGCTGAGTGCTTCTAGAATTATAGGACTGGGTATAGTCAGGATGGTAAATTCTGGGTTTTTATTTGATTAGGCTCTTGACAGTAATTCCATTTAAGAAGAAGTAAAAAATGAAAAAAAATTAATCACCAGCAAGGTAGACGAGGCTTTGCAATAAGTCACAAAAGAAAAAAAAGTAATAATACAAAATTAGCTTAAACAATTTGGTGATTGTCCCCTTAGCTACAACTAAACTAATTCATCTTACAGAAACTTGCGGATCAACCAGGTACTATCTGTTCAATAGATCTGATGAATTATAGAAATGGAGCCACAGGGGATCAAATTGTATACGTACCTATCCAACAGTCAGATATCTCCAGCTAGGTATGATAAGGGTTGATAACCAGAGTCAAACTTATATTTACCTCTTATCTTGTTACAAATGAAAAAATGTGACGTAGCTAAATCCAGAAGTAAAGTTTATGTCAAGTAAAGAGGGTCATCTACATCCCAACCAAGTTGTGCGACAAGTTCTGCAGTAGCTCAGTTGCTGCCAACACACTGATTGGCCAGATAAAGAGAAACTTAAAGATGATTTTAAGTGTTCCTACTTGTTGGCAAAATAGTCATCTCGATCCAGAAAGAGCATATGTTAAAATTAAAATCAAATTTGTTTTAGGCTTACTGTGCGTTTAAACTGCATATGCTTTGGTAATTCTTCATTCATTTCTAGCAGTTTCCAAAATTCAGTCCTCAAAGCTTTGAGTTGTTCCCTCTTCCCAGCCTTTATTTCTTCCACTTCCTTCATTAACTTGTCATGTTCTCTTTTTCTTCTGGCATTCTCAATACTGAGAACAGAAATTTAAAAGGATAACAGGTTAGGGTGCAGAAAGAGCAAAGAGAAAATTGGTATTCGATAATTTGGAAATTCATTTAGCTTGGTCGACTTCTGTAAAATGGGGGTTTGTTTTGCAAAAGCTCAGGTTTAGCAGGTATTTATCAAAAAGTCCCATACCTGTAGGTTTTGGGATCTTCAATGTCTTTCGGAAGTGGCTCTGTTTCAATTCCGAACTGTAGAAAGGAGAGTAAAAGGTTAACCCTTTTAAATTGCATATTTCCCTTAAAATATCGAATAAGAAGTAAATTTAGGGCTTTTTTCCTGTTGATTTCCAACAATTGTAAGCCTGGAAATTATTTTCACAAAAGCTAAACTATGGGGAAAAAATGCAGTTGACTAAACTTAATTTTTTCTGCTTCATTTAAAGGGATACATAGAAAAAGTCTTGAAACCAAATCCTACGTATACAAAATGTTAATATCACCATATTCCCTTCCATAATGGGAATTACTAATATTCATGTGTTAGTAACAAAGAATGAACACAAAAACTTCTCTAGGTCATTTATTTTAAAATATTGTTTTTTAGTCTATCCCTTTCACACATGCATAGTTCTCCCAAAATATCTCACGTGTATATGTACCAGGAAGATTTTTAAATATTTTTTTTAAATTTTAAGTAAGCATTTCACTTGACCTTATCAAAAAAGGACATACAGTGGGAAAGGCACAGAATAATATAATACCCCTCCTTGAGAAGAAAAGATATGAAATCAGAAATATGAGTCTCAAAGGAACTCAGCTGAAATTAAGGGGAACTATGAAGTAACTCACTTAAAAATACTTGGTTGATTCAGGCGCTGTGCTGTAAAACGCCTTAGGCTGCTAAGGAAGAGGAATTACAATCCATTGATTTAAACAAAGAGTCTTAGTTTGTTAACTAATCAGTTCTTAAGTAAAATTGAACTTTATTCTCTTTCATAACAGATAGGTCTCTGTTTTGCTGTCATTTGTTGTAAAATAAGTAAATAAATAAACACCCTCTTTGGTCAAGTTGTTTTGTTACAGTACTAGTCTCTCTACATATGAAACGTAAATCTACACATTTTTATGTAAGGCAAGCTTTATGACTTTAGTAAAAGTGAAGTCACAAAACACGACCAACGTTAGGAGACAGTGATGGCTAATACATTGTAGTTACTGTTAATCACTTTAGACACACCTTGACTGAATTTTATTCTTTATTCTTTTATTTCCCAGAGCTCAGGTTCTCCAGTATCAGTGTGATTTCCAGGATTTGATATTGATACCCAGTCAACTCTCTCCTGGCCTCAGCTGTTTACAATAAGTTTGCATTAAGCAAAGGCATTTCCAACAGTTCCAAAATATATACCAATTGTTCTCAACCCTGGCTGCACAATAGAATCATAGGGGCTTAGGGAAGGTTGGGGTAGGGAGGGATATTTTATAAAATACTGATGTCTGGGCCTCAGCTTAAGAGATTCTGATTTAATCACTCTTGGGTGGGGCTCTGGCATCTGTACTTTTAAGGGCTCCCCACTGATTCTAAAATACAGTCAGGTAAGAATCTCAGACTATGCAGGGCTTCATGTTTTGTTTATTTTGTTATTCAGTTCTTTCTGATTTTGCCTTCTTAAAAGCAGAGTCTGCTTCAGCAACTTAAGAAATATCGATTGCAGCCATAAATAAAAGGACATCATCATACAAACGTGGAGTGATTTTTTTTTTTATCCAATGTGGGTTCCCATAGAGAGAGTTGGTACTAGGTAGAAAGATAAAGATTTTCTTCTTGTTCATACACTTTTCCTTCTGCAATGCCTCTTCCTGAGCTGAACCTCTTGGATAACAGCCCATTCTCCAAATTTTGCTGCTATTAATAGAAAAGAAAATTTACCTGCTCAAATCTGCCCTACATTCTTTGTATGTTCTTTTGAAGTTGGCTTCCTGTTAAGGGGAAGTCAATGTGTTCATAGGAATTTTAACTATGGTCTTTCTAATATGATTCTTATTTTCTAGGAGCAATTCTAATGGTTATTAGTGATTGTGCCCAAAGGAACTATTTTGATAATAGAAAACTCAGGTCTTGTGACAGGGCAGAAGTATATCATTTGGGGATCTGAGCCCTCAATCTTCATTATAAAGTCAATAATGTATTCTGCCTAAGAATAGAATAATTTAACTGAATCTTGGATTGTGATCCGTAGTATCATATTCTAATACTAAAGACAATAAAATTTTTACAAACCCTTTCAAAGGCACAGATTATGGTGTACATCCCATATATGCCCTTTCAATAAGTGAATGAATAAATTACAAGCAAAATATATATCTGAAAAAACTTGTGCATTGTGAAAACAAACTTTGATCAAGAAAGCAATGATACAGAAAAATTGACACAATCATTTTAATTTGGGGAATTTTACACCTTTAGTAATAAGAGGAATTAAATGTCTTTGATATTTGATAATAGAGGCACCAGAACGTCAAAATTATAATTCTGGCAGGAAGATTAGACTATAAGGTAAATGTATCTAAATAGTTTTCAATTTTAAAGAATATAAGCAATTTTATATCACTATTTTAAAATAAAGGGGTTTTTGTTGTTGTTGTTATTAGTTGGGTACATACCCTGGGAGATGGTACTTTAGCTTTGGTGGCTTTTTTTAACTCAAATTCAGAAAAAACATTGAAAACAAAGATATTACTATCTGCTCCAGTAGTCACCAAGAAACGGTCATCAAAGCTAGCAGAGATGCCTTTAACACATCCATAATTATTATCATGCATATTGAAGTGCCAGTAGTCCGCCATATTGGTCAATGAAAGATCATTCTGACTTAAGATATAGACTCGAATTGCTCCATTTTTCATTCCACAAAACATCACATCTTGGTTAATGCTATGAAACAAAAAGAAAGTAAATTGTCCTTTATATTAATCTGAAGACAATGCTTAATTTTAAATTGACAAATGACTAAATTTTTAATAAGAAAAGTGATACAGACTAAATTGTGTCCCCTCAAAATTCACATGCTGAGGCACTAACAAACCATGGCAGCCTCAGCAAACTAATACAAAAGGGTAGAGGGGAAAGAAGGCAACTGGAAATTTGGAGCTATTATGTTTGGTCTTCAAAAGAATGACTGGCACATACGCTTAATTCTCAATTATTAAAGGACTAATGATTAATTTGTGATTTCTCCAGAATCATTATAACCCTGAATCTTCATTGTCTGACTATGCAGTAGCATCTTCCTAAGTAACAGAAAGTAAATCCACACAATTGTCTGATAAACAGAAATTGTGGCAGAATATTTGATAGAGGGACTGAAATACAGTTTCGGGATTAGCTTTGATTCTATTTATTCATTTGATTTATTTAACTAAACGTTTATTCAAGTAAACTTTGTTTGAGTCTGTCCTCTATTTGGACAGATCTTTAAAAAATTGACAATATTCTTAAAGGATAAACACATAGACACTGGGTCCAGCCTGGTGGCATAGTGGTTACGTTTGCACACTCCCCTTCGGCGGCCCAGGGTTCACGGGTTCAGATCCTGGGCACGGACATACACACTGCTCATCAAGCCATGCTGCAGTGGAGTCCCATATACAAAGTGGAGGAAGGCTGGCACAGATGTTAGCTCAGGGACAATCTTCCTCAAGCAAAAAAGAGGAAGATTGGCAACAGATGTCAGTTCAGGGCCAATCTTCCTCACCAAAACCAAAAACATAGACATTAATGGAATACGATTTTTTAAAGCTTTCTGAAATTCTGTTCACCTGAAAGTGATAGCTTGGATAGGATTATCCTCTGTATCCTGAAGAAAACGGAAATCAAAAGGTTCATCTCTCTGTTCTTTGATATCACGGCTTTTGTCATATGGGGGGAACGCACAGTGATATAAAAAACCAGCGTCATAGCCACCCTGGAAAAGAGATAAATAACATAGAAGGTGGAACTTGAATATAAGACACATATAACCACATGAGGATTTTTTATTATTTCAAATTTTAAAACACAAAATTTTATATGATTTCTATGACTATAGATAAGCTTTATAAAGCATCTCCATTGTCCCTTTATACGCAACTATACAATTATAATAATAAAACACCTTACGATGATTTGTTCACACTTAAAAGTCAATACAAAAGAGATATCACCTCTGACTACCTCCTGAATTCCATTTTATTTCAAGTATTATTCTGAAAAAGCAGTATTTAATAAGAGTTTTGTAGGTCATGGTTTTCAGAGCTGGTTTTCAGTCTAGGGCATTGCTTTTCTTCCTGAGGCAACGGCCAATTCTGAAAGTAGCTGTAGAGAGGCTAAAAAGCTGAGCAGGTCTCTGTACAGTCTCACGGGCTTAGGGAGAGAGAAAAATTCCCAGGGTCCCCCAAGGAGAAGGAGCCACTGTAAACATACCTTCCACTGGGCTTTCCATTGCAACCCTGGAGTACTATACCCTACATGTATGAGTAAGCTAGAAATAGACTGGCCCTCACAGGAAGTGAAATCTGATTTCAGGTCATCTTCAATCACTGACTGGATGAAAGTGACCTAGGATTTCTAGCTTTCCAAAATCAAAAACAAATCTCCAGGAGATAGTGGCAAAATAGAGAGACTCAAGCTAGTGCTACAGCTTTTCACATACAAGGTCTAGCATTCAATAAAGACAAAAACAAAAGCAAAAGGGAACTAGGGATGCTAGCAAAGACAAGACTTGGTTGAAAAATCAAAAGAAAAAAACAGATCAAAGAAACAAAATCACAAGAGATACTGATAGAGGTATTTTCAAAAGGGACTTCAAAATAACTATGATTAATATATTTAAGGAATTTGAAGGCAACACAGAAAATTTTAGAAGTCAATTGAAATCTATAGAAAGAATAAATAATGCAAAAAATTAAAATTCTAGAACTGAAAAGTAAAATGACAGAAATTAAAAAATTTAATAGATCAGTTTAAAAGCATCTAGACACAGGTAAAGATAGAGTTGTGAAGCTGGAACAGAGATCAGAAAAAACAGACTAAAGGAGAGAGAACAGATGGAAAATCAAAAAAAAAAAAGGAATGTAAGATGCACATGGACATAGTGATAAACGCTAATATGCATAAAATTCAAATCTCAGAAAAAGAGTAAAAAGATGAGCCAGAAGCAACATTGTGGTAGATAATGACTGAGAACTTCCCAAAATTGAATAAAAATATGTTGGAATTCAAGAAATGCTATGAACCACAAGCAAGATAAATATGAAGAAATTACTCCTTTTAAAACAAAATCTTAAAAGAAACCAGAGAAAAGAGATACATTAGGTTTCAAATAAACAGCAATAAAAAGATGCAACTGGCAGAATGGAAGACAAAAGATAAAAAGATAGCAAGGTCTTGAAAAGAAAATATCCAGCAAAAATATAATTTTTTAAAGAGGCAAAATAGGAGCCAGCCCAGTGGTGTAGTAGTTAAGTGTGTGTGCTCCACTTTGGTGGCCCAGGGTTCACAAGTTCGGATCCCAGGTGGGGACATACACACCGCTCATCAAGCCATGCTGTGGTGGCACCCCACATGGAAGAACTAGAAAGACTTACAACTAGGATATACAACTATGTACGGGGGCTTTTGGGGAAAAAAAAAAAGGCAAAATAAAGACACTTCAAGACAAGAAAGAAAAAAAAACCCAAACTGGGAGAATTTGTCACCAGCAGACATACACTAAAGAAAATATTAAAGGGTATTTTTCAAGCAAAAGGTGCAACTACAAAAATATAGAAAGGAATCAACAAAAAGAAAAAAGATAAACCAAAATGATATCAATAATATAAAAACAATAGGAAAATGCCTTTAGGGGATACAAACACATATATTAAAATAAAATACGTGACAACAGGGGGATGGGGAGGATAAATGGTGTTAAAGTGATCTAAGATCTTTTTTCTCTGAAACTAGCAAAACAATAAATTTATATCAAATTATATTAAGGATGCATATTATTATCTTTAGGATCACCTCTAAAAGAACAGCAAAGGAATGGATAACTAATAACCTAACAGAGAAGGAAAATCAGGGGGAAAACTACCTAATTATCCACTAGAAGGTAGAAAAGGGAACATAGAGTTGGTGTGATAAATGAAAATAATTAGTAAGATGGTGGATTTAATCTGAAATATGTTAGTAACTACATTAAATGTAAATGGACATAGTACTCTGTTAAAATAAAGACTAAGTTCATCCTACAGAATTTTTTAAAAAGCCTACAACATGCTGCTTACAAGAGACATGCTTTGAATATAAGGATATCAAAGGTAAAGGAAAGAGAAGAATAATTAACAACTCTAAGTTTTGGCTTAGGAACTGGATGGATGGTTGTCCCATTTACTGAGCTAGAGATGGAGCAGGTTTGCATGGGGCAAGTGTGGTTTGAAAGTTATATCTGGGGCATGTTAATTTTGAGGTACCAAGTAGAGATGTCGAGTTGGATATACAAGTCTGAATATGAGAGGAGAGGTCAAGACTAGGGATATATAATTGATATTTATTGAAGTTATCTAGCAAGAAAGAAGGGACCCAAGACCACATCCCAGATGACTTCAAATTTCAAAGTTTGTTCAGCAAATGAGAAGCCAGAAAAAGAGGCTGAAAAGGAGTGGCCAGTAAAGTGTGGTACTTTGGAAGTCAAGAAAAGAAAGGATTTTAAGAAGGATGGAGCGTCAACTCTATCAAATGTTTCTGAAGGGTCAGATGGACAGAGAAGTGACCACTGAGCTTGGCAACGAGGAAATCTGATGAAGTGAAGTCATGGAGATAGAAACCCAACTGAAAGGGGTTGAAGATCAAATAGGAGGTGAAGAAATGAAGCCAATGACTACAGACAACTCTTTCAAAAGTTTTCCTATAAAGCAGCGGTGGAGAGGAAGGAAAGAGAGGTTAAGAAAAACATTTAAGATGATAAGTACTAGAGCATGTTTATGTGCTGATGAGAATTGAGTAAACAGAGAAGCTGATACTGGATACCAGGTGGTTTATTTCAGGAGCAAAATCTTTGAGAAAGTGAGAGGGGATGGGGTCAAGAGGCCACTTGGAAAGTTGCAGGGGACATTCACCAATTGTAACAATAGGCAAAGCAGACAAAACTCCCATGGGGCATTAGATCTGATTCAGACAAGATAAAGAAATTCCATCTGATGGCTTTTATATTCTCAGTGAAATGTGAGATGAAGTTATCATTAGAAAGTGAGGGAACATATAAAATGTTTGAGGGGAGGAGAAAGAATGAAAGTGATAATTTGGAAGGTGGGAAAGTGAACGTGGCTGGGCAGTGGAGCCGACCTGCAGAGGGAGTAGATTTCAAAACTGTAGCCATGACTTCAAAACGAGACTGGTTTTCTATAGCTCCTGCTGGGTGCAGGCACAGAGCTGGCAAATAGCTGGATTAAGCAGGATTAGTGTCACCACCTCTGTGAACTATACCTTAACTTTGAGTGCTGGTGTAGCTTAATGGTTAAGAGCATGGACTCTAGACCCAGACTGCCTGGGTCCACATCCGGGTTCCACCCTTCATTAGTTGTATGACCTTGGATAAGTTACTTAACCTTTCCATGCCTTGGTTTCTTCTTCCGTAAAATGCAAATTAAAAGAGCACTTATTTTATAGGGTGGTTATTAAATCACTTAGAATGGTGCTTGGTACAGAATAAATAGGTTTCCAGGTTTAGCAAATAAAAATATAGGATGCCCAGTTAAACTTGAATTTCAGATAAGCAAATACATTTTGAGTGTAAGTATGTTCCATGTACTATTTATCTGGCAACTCTAAGAGTAAGCACTAAATATGCATGTTAAATAATTAATAATTTTTGCATGTATGTTTCAAGGATAACAGAACTCTATTACACTATATTATAGTTGTTTCTATGCCTCTCTTTCTCATGATCTGAGGAAGTTTCCTGAGGGGAGGAACCATGTTTCATTTATCCCTTTACCCCTTGAACCCTACACAATAGTGGCCATCAATAATTGTTACATAAAACACAGAAGACAGGGGCTGGCCCTCTGGTGCAGCAGTTAAGTTCACATGTTCTGCTTCTCAGCGGCCCAGGGTTCGCAGGTTTGGACCCCAGGAGCTGATGTGGCACCACTTGGCAAAAGCCATGCTGTAGTAGGCGTCCCACGTATAAAGTAGAGGAAGATGGGCATGGACATTAGCTCCGGGCCAATCTTCCTCAGCAAAAAGAGGAGGATTGGCAGTAGTTAGCTCAGCATTAACCTTCCTCAAAAAAAAAAAAAAAAAAAACACAGAAGACAGACACAGGGTAAAGGCACTAATAAATGGAGTCCTAAGGTGCCTCCATCACTACTTTCCATCCTTCTTGCTGCTTGCCTCCTTAGAAGTTGCTATCAAAGATATATTCCTAGGAAAAGGTGAAGAGAGGAGTTACACTCTCATCACTCCTTATAGTGACAGTCCATGCTAGGAGGTGTCCTGGCTTGGTCAAAGATCTGGGAGCATTTAGGAAGTAGCGATGATCTTTCACATATACTTATATGTCAATCATTATTTTTTGGTGAGTGGACTGAAATTGTGACAAATTTATAATGAAAGAAATCTTGCTTTGTAATAGATCAATGTTTTATAAGAGTAGAAAACATAATCAGAAGATGTAATTATTACATCATTGTGACAGTCCCTGGTACTTGTCTTTCCAATATCCATTTTTCTCCTCTTCCTTATTTGCCAAGTCCCAGTTTTGCTCAAGGTGGCAATGTGACCATCTAAAAACAGTCATCTTCCCAGACTCTCACATGGTCACACAGCATAGTTGCAGATAACGAAATGTAAGCAACAGTCTACTGGATAGTGCTGCCATTATTGTCAAAATGCCAATTATTTTCAAATTAAAAAACAACAGACTGAGCTAGAAAACCGCTTAGCCCTTTGCCCTTCTACCTTTAATCCTTCTCCTCTTTGACCTCCTGGAACATGTATGATTGTCATAGGCGATAACAGATATAACAAGTAGACACATAAAAGAGATATTAAGGTGATATAAAAACAACTGTCACTCACATTCATTCATCAAAATTCACACCTTCAATAGCAGTTAATAAATGAAGTCTTGCCATATGAAAGTAAGAATGTGCTAGAAAATAATAACTACAAACCATATTGGATTAGGGCTGAGATAAAAATTATTTATTACATAGTACTCACCAAAGAAACCCAGAACTTCCCTGGCCCAGAGTAAAATCCACAAAGGATGTGACAGGGGGTTGATGGAATAAAGATTTGGGGTAACGGCTCCTCTTCCTCTTCCTCCTTCTCCTCCTCTTTGCCCTGGAGTTCCTTTTCTCCATCTTCTCCCATCTCTGCTGCTAACTGCTTTCTCCTTTCTTCCTTTTCCTTCTCCCTCAACTCCTTTTTTTTCTTTCTCTTTTCAAGTTCTATTAATCTCTTTTGCAAAAGAGACATTAAGAAGTATAAAAACAGCTGTAATTCATGCATTCATTTACACGATTGGGGAGGACAAAGAAAGTAGAAATAATATAGGGTCCCAGAAAAGCTCATAGCTCTGATGTAACAAATAATGTCATTTAAAAACAATCATCAACTTGGGAATTTATTTTTATCATTAAAATTTGCAAATCATTGTAATGACTTCATTTCTGCATTACCCTCATTGATCCTGGTTTTATAGAAATTACTTTGTCATTTTTTTTTCCTAATAGAGAAGCTAAATGTAGTTTCTCTATCACTGTCAGCCCATGAATTGGGTAGACTGAAATAGTCCACTAGTGAAGTCGTTTCTATCCTCAGTAACAGTGTGATTTAGGCCCTCAGTGTCTATCAACTGGCTATTGCAAAAGCCCACTACCACTGGCATCCCTACCTCCCATCTTTGACCTCTTTATTCTGTTTACCCCTTAGAATTACCTTCCTAATTTATATGATCTCATCACATCAATCCCTTCCTCCAAAACTCACAATGGATCCCAATGGTCTAAAAATTAAATTGAAATATCTTGGCCGGTATTTAAGGAGCCCAGGCCTGGTCACAGACCCCCACCATCTCTTTCCACAAATAACATCCCTCTGTTTCACCAGTCCAGTCTTCGTTTTCTGAAAACACCAAAAACTCTTACAACTCTGCCTTCCCTCAGGATGTTCTCCCCACTTTTATTGCCTTTCTCCCAATTTTCACCCTCTCAGAATTCTTTCCATTCTTTAAGTACTAAATGTCACCCCCATGTGGTCATCTTTGACCTCCTCTCACCCCTCCATCAGCATCCTATATTCTTTCCTCTGTGCTCGAAATTCTTTTCTTTTCACTTTGATTTTACTATCTGTTCACTACGGCCTTTCAATCTAGTTAGCTGCTTCCTACCAGGTTATAATCTCCTTAAAGTGAGAGTAACATGTTATTCTTCTTTGTATTTCCCTAGCACTTAACACAGGATATTTTATATTCTAAGAAAGAAAAAATATTAGAAGATAATGCTTCAAGGATCTCTCATACCAGAATCTTAGATTTGACACTTGAGAAATGGAAACATTTTATGGACATGTCTTTGATTTCATAGGAAACGACATCATGGTCCTCCTCTTCTTCCTCTATGGTTGGAAGTGGAGCTTCAAGAACATAGCCATTCTCACAGATGATCAGTAAAGTACTTTCAGGCTAAAAGAGAAAGATTAAACATATCATTTACATATAGGCAGATTTTTAGAAGCATGGCTCAAAAAGATTTTAAACCAGGGAAAATGTAACTGCTACGTATATTAACCAATTTCAAAAGATATTTAATTCCTCACTGCAATTATTATTGGTAAAAATCAATCTTATTAATCACTATAATTATTAATACCAATTATTATTATGTCCTTATTAATAAGCTAAATGTTAAAATTAAATTTAGATTCGTTTCCTTTATAGATGCCATAACATATTTTCTGAGCCAAAAATGTGGTTGTGAAATACGTTAGCCTAAAGAGCAGAACATTACAATTAGGACTGCCAAGGAAAATCTGCAGGGTGTGGCTGGCATATTCAGCCTCAGCCTCCTTTGAGGGATCATTGTCTATCTGCCCAAGTTCATTAAATGTGGATGCTCCCAAGCTTTTTGTCCTCTTCTCTCTTCTCCTCTCTCTCCATGAACGTTTTCTGGGAAATCTTATAGCCAACCCAAGGGTTCATTACCACTCATATGCAATTAGATTCCAAATTAATCTTTCTAGGCCAGACCTCTCTTGAACTCCAAAATCATGTATTTAACCATGTATGGAAAACCCCCATCTTGATATTCCATAGACACATTATTCAAAATGTTTATTAAATCGATAATTCTATAATTATTTATTATGTACCTACTATGTATTCGGCAGTTTTTTTTGAGGAAGATTAGACCTGAGCTAACATCTGCCACCAATCCTCCTCTTTTCTGGGGAGAGAAAGACTGGTCCTGAGTTAACATCCGTGCCCATCTCCCTCTACTTTATATGTGGGATGCCTACCACAGCATGGCTGGACAAGCGGTGCACAGGTCCGCACCCAGGATCTGAACCAGTGGACCCCGGGCCACCAAAGCAGAACATGTGAACTTAACCACTGTGCCACTGGGCCGGGCCCTCTACTTGGCATTTTTTAAAGTGTTAGGGGTAAAATTATAATAAGAAAAACAGGTACAATCTCTGCCATTATGGAGCTCACCACCAAAGGGACAATCTGTCATCTAACAAAGCATAGAAATAAATATAATTTATAACTGCAACACTGTTGCAGAAGTGCCACAAGAGCAAGGAGATTGTACAAGGCTTCCTGAGAAGGTGGTACTCAAGCTTCAAAGTGAAGGATGAGTAGAAGAAAATTGCATAATGAGTTAGGGGAGGGTTTGAGGGAGCATGCTATGTAAAAGAAGTACCATGTGCAAATATTCTGTGGCACATTTAGGTTTATAAGGAAGTCGTGGGCTTGGATGGTATCATCTGAATCAAAAGAACAGAGTGAGAAGAGAGACTGGGACAGAGCCTTAGGAAACAACACTCGATGACCGGTGAGGGAGACTGAGAAGGAATGACAAGATGTAGGAGAGGGAACCAGGAGAGCATAATGTCACAAAAATCAAGGGAGATGGTATTTCAAAAACGAAGTAAGGGTCCACAGGGTCAAATAAGGCTAAGAGGTCAAGAAAGATAAGAAACATAAATGCTAAATGGGTATCATTGGTGTCTTTAAATGAGTTGGTTTGATGGAATAACGAGACTAGAAACTGGTAAGAGCATGTAAAGGAAGGTGTGGATGTAAGCAGGTGGAGTCTGTGGGAATAATCAGTCCTCTTGAGAAAATCAGGAGGCGAAAGATGGGGCAGTAGTGTAAGTGAACATATGTGAGGCCATCTTGTTATGTTAAATGACCCCAGCTCCTCCTGTGTGTGACTACTCACTGTTCTGCACGTACTCTAAAAAAAATTCACATGCTCGCCCGATTTATGGCCTCCACTTACATATGTGCTCCTCAATAGCTTAATAAATTAAGACTTTGTTCTATGAGTTTTTCTCCAGCAACAGGCTGACCACAGGTGGGAAGCACACCTACAAGATATTTCTCATCACTGACGGAAGAAAAGAACAATGAAAGATCCTGGAGTCCATCATGCCAGAAGGCTGACACTTCTAAACCCTCTCCTTACTGTCCATTTTCCCTCTATAATTGCCTCAAGATTCTGTAATCCTTGAAGATGGGTTTTTGAGACATTAGTCACCAGTCTTCCAATTTGCTGGTTAATTGAATTAAAGCTTCCTTTCCCCATCTCTAACTCATTGTGCTTGGTCGCCTCAGACCGTGGTGAGCAGAGTGAGCCCATTTCTCAGTATGAGTCGCTGGAAGAGAACACGAGGTCAAGGGATCTCTTTTTTGTAAGTGGGAGAGACTTGAACATATTTAAATACAGACGGAAATGATCCAGTGAACAAGTGAGGTTAAATTTATGTGATAGAAAAGAGAAAATAGTGTAAAATCTTGAAAAAGTGGGAGAGGGGAGAATCCAAAAGACAAGAGGTAGAATTGGCCTCAAGTAGCAAGGGAGAGAGTATCTTCATTGTAAAGGAGGGAAGAGGAGCAGGTGGATGCAGATGTAAGAAGATTTTATGTTGGTAGTGGTGAAAGAGTTCCTGCCTGAGGGCTCCTAGTCTTTCTGTGAACTAAGTGATGCTGAGAATAAGAGTGAAGGTGCTCGTGGGAGGCTGGAAGCTTTGAGGAAAGAAGAAGGTTTAAAACGGTCACTGTGGGTGAAAGAGGGAGTTGATAAAAGCAATGTCATAGGATTGCTGAGCCATCCCAGGGATTGTGTTGCGGCCATTTGAATCACTAAGTTGTGGAGAAGCTAATCTTCCCTGATGTATGACTATCTCTAGGTGCCCGTGGCTGACCACTGTGGGCAAATATAAATAAGCTGGGGGCATTCGGCAATGGATTTTTGCCAGAGGAGTATGAAAAAAAGACAGAGGGATAAGAGAGATCAAGACATTGGAAGAGTGTTATTGATCCTTATTGAAATGAAGAATCATGAAATTTAAGCTGATATGGAAGGAAGTGAAGAGTGGACTAATGGGTTAGAGAAAGCAAATGGTGAATGAACAAGAGGTCCCTGTGGCATCAGAGAACAAGTACAGCAGGAGTAGCCAGATGAATAGGCTGGAAGAGAGAGAGGTTGAGGCCATAATGTGGGATATTTGAATTGTTGACTATTAAGGTTGCGTTCTTACAAATTGTTATGGTCCGAAATGTGTTCCCCCAAAATTCATATGTTGAAGTCCCAACCCCAAGTATCTCAGAACGTGACTGTGTTGGGAGATAAGGCCTTTAAACAGGTAATTATGTTAAAATAGGTTCGTTAGGGTTGGCCCCAATCCAACAGGACCAGTGTTCTTATAAGAAGAGGAGATTAGGACACAGAAGGACGACCACGTGAGGACTCAGTGAGAAGGCGGCCATCTGCAAGGCAAGGAGAGAGGCCGCAGAAGAAACAAACCTGTCAGCACCTTGATCTTGGACTTCTGGGCTAAAGAACTTTGAGAAAATATATTTCTGTTGCACAAGTCACCAGACTGTGGCATTTTGTTATGGAAGCCCTAGCAAACTAATAAACAAGGTGTAATACTGCCCAGTAGGTGGCTGTGAAAGCATGTGGATAAGCTGTAAAGATCATGGGAAATGAGGAGCTCAAGAAGCTCAGAGGCTGATGGTGTTTGATCAAACTTGTACATGGTATTAACACCATTCAGAATAATTGCTTATGGGGCTGGCCTGGTGGCGCAGCGGTTAAGTGCACACGTTCCACTTCTCAGCGGCCCAGGGTTCGCCGGTTTGGATCCTGGGTGCAGACATGGCACCACTTGGGACACCATGCTGTGGTAGGCGTCCCATGTACAAAGTAGAGGAAGATGGAAATGGATGTTAGCTCAGGGCCAGGCTTCCTCAGCAAAAAAAGAGGGGGACTGGCAGTAGTTAGCTCAGGGCTAATCTTCCTCGAAAAAACAAAAACGACAGAAAAGAATAATTGCTTATACTTGAAGAAAGATAAGAAGAGAAAGAAGAAAGAGAAAGAAGAGAAATTGCTTGTATGAAGAGAAAGATAACCATATTCTCAAAATTTTAATAAAGGGGCAGGTGGTCAGAAGATGACAGCTATATAAAGAGAGAGAAGATGATGTAGCTGAATTATAAAAACACCTCCTTTGAGATCCTTATCTTAATTTTATGAGTTTCAAGTCATAAAAGTAATATATAAATATTGCCATAAATAAAATCATACTATACAAAGATGTATAAAAGCAAAGCTAACTATTATACTTCTCTCCCTGACCCCAAACAGATATAATGAATGCTAAGAACTAATGTGTATCCTTCCATGCTTTTATCTTCAGAATAGAATTTTTTTCAGGTTGATAAAAGGGTATTAATTTATTCATTCAGCGAAGACATAGTCAATCCAGATCCATGAAGATAACCAGACACACAAAGAAGCAAGACACCAGGAGTGAGAGTCAGCAACACAAATGCAATAGAAAAAATCCATAAAGACTTCAGATGTTAAAATTATCAGACAGAGCCCAAAAAACAATTATGTTTGAAGAAATAAAACAACACCTTGAAACATCTACAGGAAACAAAAAAGCATAAAAACTAACAAAACAAATATGAAAGAGGACAAAATAAAACTACATGACCTAAAAAATAAAAAAGTTGAAATTAGCATCACAAAGTGTGGCTTTAGCACCAGATAAGATAATTGAAGAGATAATAAGTCAGCAGAAAATAGATCACAAGAAATCAGTAAAATACAGCATGAAGGGATTTTTTTTTTTTAAGTTAAAAAATATAGAACAGGTGCTGGCCTGGCAGCACAGTGGTTAAGTCCACGTGCTCTGCTTTGGTGGCCCAGGGTTTGTGGGTTTGGATCCTGGAAGCAGACCTACACATTGCTCATCAAGCATGCTGTGGTGGAGACCCACATATGAAAAACAGAGGAAGACTGGCACAGATGTTAGCTCAGCGACAATCTTCCTCAAGCAAAAAAGAAGAAGACTGACAACAGATGTTCGCTCAGGGCCAATCTTCTTCAGCAAAAAAAAAAAAAAAAAAAAAAACCAGAAGATAGGGTAGGAAATTTAGATAATAAG